CCTACCTGGAACAGGGGGTCCCAGGCCAGGAAAGGGCAAATTCAAAGGCGCGGAGGGGGCAGGGAGGCCAGCGTAGCTGGGGGTGAAGCTAATGATACGGGTGGGGAGGGCCTGCTGCCATGCAGGGCCACGCAGCCCAAGGACACAGGTGTCTGGCCAGGAGAACATGTGGGATTGAGAGAAGAAAGCCTGTTTTCTCAGAGAATTCTAGAAAGTCTGTCCTGGAAGAAAATTCAGTGTTCCTCCAGACCATGGGTCAGCAAACTACAGCCAACCTGCATCGTTGTCTGCTTTTGTATAGCCCAGGAGCTAAGAATGATCTTTACATTTTTAAAAAGTTGGAAAGAAAACAACTGAAAGAATAATATTTCGTGACACAAGAAAATTATATGAAATTTCATCTTCAGTACCCATAATAAAGATTCATCGGACAAGCCACACCCACTTGTATACTTATTGTTGCAGCAAGCTGCTTCCCAACTACAAGGGCAGAGGGGAGTGACCGAGATAGACCATCTGACCCAGAAGCTGAAAATACTTACTATCTGGCCCTTTCCAGGAAAAGTCTGCCAAGCTCTGAGGCAGAGGAAGTCATTGTCACTCTTGGCTGCAGAACTGAATCACTGGGGGGTGTTTAGAAAACGCCAGCACCCAGAGGTTCCGATTTAATTGATCTGGGGTGGGGATCAGCCTTCCCGACTTTTGAAAAGCCCCCAAGGCGATCTGGATGCGCAGCCAGACCTGGCATGGGTTCCCTGGACTCGCTGCCACCGTCACCCATCCCGCCGGGGAGAGTGATGGGCACAGAACGTGGCTCTACTGAGATTCTGAGCCGGGGGCCTTTCGCCCACACTGCTTTTTGTAAAACTCAATGCTTTAAAAACACGCCCTTTGAAATGCCATTACATACCAGTCTGTTAAATGACACGAGGCACAGCAATCCTGAAGCAGCCAGCGTCACCTCACTCAGAGGGTATTTGACGCTGCTTTGCGACCACTTTGTACATGTCAGCCCAAACCCAGCCTGGCTTTAAATCTGATATTCTGAGTCCACATTCCAACGGCCACTGACTCAGCCGACGGCTCCAGTTCACAAAGAACGCTTCTCTCTATTCACGTGGTTTTCGATTCTCGGCAGGTACAATAAGGTTACTGCAATTTCCTTACGTTTGTACTCCGAATTTTTTCAAAGCCCCTGTACATGCATTCTCTCTTAAGACTCTCAAGAGAAACGTACAAGGTGGGAGGATGGGTACCATTTAACAGATGAGGAAACTGAGGGTCCGGGAGCATCAGTGACGAGCAGAGTGGTAAAGACTCTGGCCTCTGACAGGTCTGGGTTCTACTCCCGTCTTCCCTGCTTCTTGGCTGCAGGCAGGGCCGTCCCCTGTCCAAGCCTCATTTCCCTGCCTCATGTCTAAAAGGAGGTAAAAACAAAGGCCTCTGGGGACTGTGGTGAAACTAAACATAAAAGGAGATGGGTGAGAATTAGCTTGGCAGTGAGCACAGTCATCACTAAAAAACAAAATTAAAGGCAGTGGTTCTTAAGGGACACTGCTCCCCAGAGGGCCTCTGGGAATGTGTGGGGGCTGTTTTTGGTTGTCACAGTGATGGAGAGCGCTACTGGCATTTACTGGTTGGCAGCCACACGTGTGAAACACCCCAGAGCTGCGGGAGAGCCCCCCAAGCCAACAGCACTGCTATTTAGAAACACTGGGGCACTCACCGCTCCTCTGCAGATAAGGGCCCTCTCCCTGTGGTCCAGCTCTCTAACCTCTGCACTGCTGACGTCTCGGGTGGGGTGCTTCTTTGTTGTGGGGCCATTCTGTGCAGGTGAGGACGTTCGGCAGCAGCCCTGGCCTCTACCCACTCGATGCCAGGAGCACCGTCCACATTGCGACAACCAAGCATGACTCCAGACGTTGCCAAATGTCCCTGATGGGCAGAAGTGCCCCCAGTTGAACACTACTGCTATAGACAAACAGATGCATCCTGAGAAGGCGGCTCTTCCCGGCTCTCTGGCACCAACAGGCGAGGAGAACCAGGAGGAAGGCAGTGGGGGCACAAACGTCACACCCAAGACATCCTGGTCCCAGCTCTTCCTGTAGCAGCTGAAACCCAAAGTGATGGGCCCCTCTGTGGAAGTCTGAGTTGATCTGGGAATTTTTTGGGTAGGAAACAAGAATGACACACGGTCTCCCCTGTCTGGTACGGAAAGATTACATTCTCCAGCAGTCACTAAGCATTTGAGACTACCCCCACGGGTCCTCAATTTAAGGCAGAAGTGTGCTCGCTTCCCAATCACGAAACATCTGCTTTCTGGTGTCGCTGACATTTTTTTTTTTTTCATATTTAAAAAAAAAGGAAAGAAAAGAGAAGAATGAATTTTAAACTGCTTAGATAAAATGCAGTGAATACAAAGCATTATTTATTCCCCTGCCTGGATGCGCAGGGCTGAGAAAGCAGCACGTGGGACGATTCATATTATGGGGAGAGAAGACTCTTAAGGAAGAAGGGAGAACACGCATTCCTCTGCACTTCAGTAGAGCAGAAGGAAGAAAGAAACCGCCAGGATCAGAGCGGCTCGTTCTGAAGGGCGCCCCCCTCCCCAGCTCCCAGCTCCAGGCTGCACCCACCCGGGCTCCGCGGGCTGGCAGCTGGGAGCCCGGGACTGGTCACCTTGCTAATTCAATAAATGAACTCTGACAAGCCTAAATGGTTGTTTGGAAGGGTCCTCTCTCATCCGCCCTCCCTCACTGCCCCAAACCTCAAATAAAATAAATAAAACACGAGACACAATCTGAGTCTTTTACGGCTGCCTTCTCAAGCGGGAGTGGGAGAAATGCTAATGATCCTGTGGCCGCGGGCTGAGCCAGGCCGGCTGTGGGCCTAGAGGGCAGGCCGGCCTCCCTTCCTCTGTTCTTCTGTTCCCTTTCCCTCCCTCGGCTCCCCGTCCTCCCTGCTCCCTGTTGTGGAGCGGGCGGGTGGTTTGCATATTATTCAGCACACTGCCATAGGTGTCTTCAGCCAATCCGAGGCGATGGCAGCCGCTTGCACCTTGCTGACAGCTGCTGTCAAAATACTCTCACAACCGGCGGCTCGATAATAACTCGAAAATGAGATACAAATGAGTGACTCTTCGTGAGTGGGAACACGCTGCCATTCCCTCCCACCCCGCCAGCTTCCGAGCGAGCGTGGCGCGGAATGCTCGGGGATGCTGGAGATGAGCTCTGGCCACGGTAGAGAGATGTGTTAAAAAATAACCCAAACCTGCCAGCCATGGAAGACTGTGCCCATTGCATTCCCCTCGGTGGGGGGTGGAGGGGGGGGGTCCCACAGGACTTCAGAACGGGTCCAAATTCCTCCCCCGAAGGGATGCCACACTCTGAGATGCAGCTGGATGTGCTGATGGAATCTCTGAGTGGCCACAACCCACAGGGGTACTCGCCATCCACAACCCAGGGAGGCTGCATCAGGAGCCCAGAGAGAGCCATGGGCTCCCCTTCCCAGGGAACACCACGCCAACCCCCGCCCCCTCCCGTCACCCACAGCCGGGCTGCTGGGCTGTTTGTATTCATCCAGCCAACTCTTTTCCTAAAACTTGGGCTGTCTCTCCCATGGGGAAGTCAACATCAGCACAACTAGTTTAGAAAAGCAGAAATAAGCCCCAGGGAGTCCAAAGTGTGTGGTCAGCACTCCTCCGGGTTTCCCAGGATGCAGGGGGCTCAGAGCGGCAGAGAGGCAAGCCGACCGGAAACTTCCTTCTCATTTGCCAGGGTCTGCCCTTGCCCGGGGTCTCTCTCTGCTTGTCCAGGCAGGGGCCGAGAACACCAGGCGGGGCTGGAACACTCATTTACTTGAGGATACAGAACGCCTCCCCAAATCCCAGAGCACATACCACACTCACCCAGGAGGTTTAGAGGACCGTAAAAAGCCACTGAATTTTTTTTTTTTTAACTGTTCTGGGTTGAGCTCTGCTAGATTAAGAGAAGCCGAGGTGATGGCTCAGGCTGGGGTGAAAAAAGCGCTTTAGCGAACAAGCTGTTAAAGGCTTTTATTTAAATTCGAGGGAGGCAGAGTAAAACCGTCCCAGGGAAGCAGAATTGTGCTGCCTGGCCAGGCTCCCCCACGGGCCTCTCTCTCTTCCCCCTCACTTCCCTGCAGAAAGCCTTTATTCCTCCGTCCACACGTCGGGTAAACATCTGGCTTATTCCGCTTGCGTGTGACACGGCGCACCCTGAACCACCCTGTTTGTGTCACCAGGCCTACTTTAAGAGCAAACTCCCATCCAGAGAGGATGAGCCACGGTAACCTCCTCGGCGAGCTGAGCGGTAGGCAAGGCTCCTACGCAGTACGCTCGGAAGGACAAGAGGCCCTCAGCACCCCACGAACAGCTGAGAAACCTGTTTGGGGCTCCGTCAAACCTCGCCACAGAGCCAGGAAGGAGCGCGGACTAGGACTCAGGCTCGGGCCTCAGCTCGGCCACTTAAGCAGCTCCGAGACCTCAGGCGACGCACCTGACCTCTCTGCCCCGCTGCCTCCTGTCTGTGGAACGGCGGCACCCACACCTGCCCTGCCCACAGAGGCGCGTGAAGACAGGATGCCGAGGGCGCACCTGAAAGGTAAAGGGGAGAGCAGTGTCACGCTGGGGGACACGGGCGGCTGGCTTGTCGCTTCTGCTCAATTTCCCAGAATCTCTGGAATGAGGTTACGCTTCTAATTAGAAGGAAGAATTTTAAAAGAGTAAAACTTTGACCTGCTAATAACAGAGAAGGATTCAAAAGACTTTTGTATCTGAAAGAGTTTTGACATTAAATACAGTGCTGGGCAGAACGCACTGAAGCAGCATGGTCCCGGCTTCAGTTCAAGGCAGCAGGTTTGAAAAGGGCTGGCTTTGGAGTTAGAGCAATACCGAGGAGAGACGGGGAAGAGGGACTTCGAAGAGCCACTCAGAAGGTTTACGGCAAGTGAACTGGGTCTTGAGACTGAACCAGAATATTCCCTGAAGCCCCTGCACGCCCAACCCGGCAACTCTGATTGAGCAATGGACACCTGTCTTATCTTGAAAAAATATTCTTCCTTCTGAATCTAAGGCGATCTCCACGCTCAGTGCAGGCAGTGTGCCAAACGCACAGTCATACAGAACAGGAAATAAAAAGCACCGATAAACTCACCAGCAATGACTGTTATTTTCATGCATTTCCTTCCAGTCATTTTTCCGTGTGTCTGTTCGGACACCCTAGTCTGATTCTTGCTTCCTTCTCTTAATTGCTGGATCAAAAGCATGTCCCCTCTCAGTGACGTTCTTTATAAACACTGTTGATGCCTTTCTGGCATTTCATCCATAATTTATCTAACCCATCGTCTCTCACTGTTGAATATTAACAGTGTTTCAATTGTTCCCTGTCATAAACCACCCTTCATGGAAGATCCTCGCATACAAAATATCTGTCAAAATTTCCAATTATTCCTTTAGGATAAAACTCTAAAAACAGAATTACCTAGATCAAAAGGTACGAGCATTTTCATACCATGCTGTCCAATATGGCAGCCACGGCCGCATGTGACTTTAAAACGAAAAGGAAAAACATTTCTTTTGCTATTTAAGGTTAAATGAAACAAAATTGAAATTCGGTTCCTCAGTTGCATAAGCTGCATTTCAAGTGCTCAGTGGCCACACGGGGTTAACAGCCAGCACACTGGACATGTTTCCATTCTTGCAGAAAGTTCCGTGGGACAGTGCCGCTCCCGGGACACACCACAAACTCATAGCGTGGGCCAGCTTGGTAAGATGAGCTTGGCCCTGATGACTTGCACGGGCCTCCACCTTTTCCTGACCCGACACCATCTTCCTTCTTCCATCCTTGTGACTTGAGTCAAGACTTCTCAAAACTTCCCAGCGACGCACCAGATCCTCAGTGGCAGATGAGAATAAATCCCCACTTCTAAAGACTCGGGGAGTGTAACAAAGTTGTCTGGTGCTTACCTTAACATTTCATGCAAACTTTGTATTTTATTCCACAACTTGGTCATATTTGTGCAAAAACATAAACATATATAATATTTGTCTATCTTACTGAGTAAACACGCTTGCAGGAAGATGATCACTGTTAATCTTATGGTTTTAGATACTAGAAAGCAGACAGACTATGCTCTCTAGCCTGAGAACAGCCCCATGGGAGCCCCCAAGGGAAGAGTGCCTCCTGAGGGGCCTGGGTGGTAGATTAGAATCAGCAGGCCCTGGTACCTTTTCCCCTTCTTGCTTTGGTTGCTACGGAGCTCAGACGTTAGTGCCCTTTACTGAAGGACTCCTCAGTCTGGGAGTTGTAATATAATTTTCTTCCAACTGACATTTTTCTTAAACTTCTGCACTGATTGAAGTCTTGATCCTATAAGGTGAGGAATCTACTTGCAAATAAAGAAAAAAATACAAGGAACTTGTACAGATTCTAGGCAAGCTGGCACCTTGAAGTTCCTTCAGCTCTCAGAGCTTCATCTTGCCGAAAAGGGAAGAAACATTTACTCCTTCAAACGAGGGGCGGTCTGGGCTAGAACTCAAAGCCAGTGCTGACTGCAGAACCCAAGCTCGGGCTGAAAGTGCTCGGCGGAGGTGCGAGCGGGACACACCTGGAGGGACGATGCTAAAGCCACAGCTGGGACAGCCACGCACCCACAGATGTCCCTGAACTTTCTGACACTGGACAAGGGCTGTTCCCTTCTCCAAGCCTGCTCTTCTGGCCAGAGGACAAGGCCCGGCAGCAGGGGACACCGTACACGACGAGAGCCGCTTGGGCCAGCAGCCAGGAAGGCCCATTAGCAGGGCTTGTGCCCAGCACGCACGGTGATGACTGATATTCCTAATGATGACCTGGGGCCCTGCAGGCCCTGATTCCGCTTCTGGATCGTCAAAGATTCAATTACTCTCCACCCGAGTGCCAATGTTAAGTATATTTTATTCTGTTCTAATTCCTCGGAAACCGGCGTCCATGCTATCGATGGTAACTCTCCATTAACCCGAATGGTGGGTCTGCCAGGAAGCTCATCCTCAACTCGGCTGGGTTCAAGGGAGTTTGACATCAGTCTGGGAAGGACGATGGGCAGGCTGCCAGAGCCATGGGAACAGGGGAAAGACGGCTCGGGGGAAAAATTCAGCCTGGGCGGGAGTCAGAACCGGCTCCCCAGCTCCCAGCTGCGTGACTTTCCCCACTCTGAACTCCATCTTCCTCATCCGTAACACGGCCGCACGATTCCCTCCGAGTGAAGAGAGAGCACAGGGCGTTAAGAAGAACCTGCCAGAGCTGCAGGACTAAATCAGAAAGACCCCCGAGACGCAGTTCCGAGAAGGGCAAAAAGCCCGACAATACAGAAAACATGGCACCGTTTTCATCTAAATGGACCCAAGACAGCTGCACATGCTGCCTACAGGTTCACAAATGCATAAAATGCACAGAGAAAACATCTAGAAGGAGAGCTGCCAAACGGATCGCATGAACTTCTCTGGGGAGGAGGGTGGCAGCCACGAGGGGTGGCCACTGAGGAAAAGGGATTTTGGCCTTCCATCTTTCTTTCCACAAGGAAAACACATTCCTGTTTTAGTTGTGCAATTAAATTTTGTTTAAAAACAGGAAAAAACAGATATAGCTATATACAGACAGAGACAGAGAGTGCACGAGCTCTGGCTGCACGGGAGGGATTTAACAAAGGGCGAACGGTTCCTATCAGGTTGGACTAAGGAAAGTCTTGACCTGCCGTTTTTGCAAGTCAAGGATGACCACGCGTTGGCATCCTTACACAGCCCAACGTGCTGTCTGCAGGCTAAAGACCACCCCGTCCGCGGGATGCCCAGAGTGGCTGGGGGGCAGAGGGAAATTAAAACGCGCCCAATGAAAGTGAACTGAAGCCCTGGGTGGTGGCTCCATACATCGCCCCCGTACTGTGCACCGTCTGCGAGCCCAGCCTGGGGAGAACCGGGGCGTCCTCCAGCGCAGCAGCCCCACCTCACACGATGCTTCCACGAGCTCAGAGGGGTCCCTCAGCCGGGGCTGTGTATGCTTCAAAGGCTCAGGGTGGTCCGGGCCACCCTCTGCAGAAATCAGGCTGCACCGCCAGAGTCTGCCTCCTGATGGGGAAGACACCCCCAACTCCAGCGTCCAGACAGAGGCGCTGGCCCTTGTCAGGGACACTGCGAGGCACAGACACTCAAGTGAATTAATTTTCTCCTAGATTTTTATCCTTTGGATGCACAGTGACTGCCCTACGAGATGTCTGCAGACAGCCTGGGGTTTTTCCAAAATCTGAGCCGGGAAATCAACGTTCTGAAATGCATTTTACAAGCGAACAGAGGTGAGGATGGGGAGGCAGGACGAACAGCCCAAAACCCTGGGACCAATCCCCAGCCCCACAAGTGAAACGTGTGCAGAGTGGAGACGAAAGGAAACCTCGGGGTCGGCATAGCCTTTCTGGTTATTTTACTATAAAACACCCTCTACTATTTATTGAGAGCTGATTTGCACCCAACACTAGGCCACAGACCCCTGACTTTGCTGGTTCATGCACGGCGCCCTTGGTGTCTGAGTAATTTTTCATTGCATTCCTAGGCCAAAAGAGATACCTAACCATTTAGTATAACAGCTTAATAGTCCAAACTATTAATAGGTCTAAACAACTTCACAGTAGCAGTTGGCACCATCTCTGATAGACGTCACTGCGTTTTTCTTGAAAATCTAAAACATCCACAGTGTACCCGTGAGTTCACTGGGGCACCCCTGGGTGCTGCGGTGCACAGTCTGGGAACTATGGCACTGGGCTAACTGCCTTACTTTCATGTCCTCCTTGAGTCCTCCCAACAGCCCTGACCAGTATGCACTATGGGCCCCACTGTACAGATGCAGATACTGAGATTCAGGGTTTTTAAATGACTTGTCCAAGTCTGATAGCTGGTAATGGAGGAGCCAACATTTGAACACTGATCTGATGGACTCCCAGGGCTGCCACGTTCAGTTGTACAGGTTGAACACTGCAACAATTCTAGAGGGTGCCACTGCCACAGACTACAGTGCTGGTGCTCTGAATCATTAAGCTAACAGCTGGCGTTACATTCAGCACAAAGCCTCCAGCTGTCACAGCCCCCTTCACTGAGCAGCCTCTTGCTTTGACTTCTACGATCACCTTAATGGGGCCTCTGCTCACATCCTTTCCCCAGTAAATTCTGACTGGCAGGACATGCTAAAGAGCTCTAAAAGCTTCATTTAACCTTGGTGACCAAGCAGCAAAATGACCAACTCCGACAGTATAAACTCATAAGAACTGGTGACATTTCAACCACAAGTGGGCTTGGCAGGGAAAAAGATTCGTAGGTCCAAGCGGACCCAGAAAGCATCTTGGACCTGAAATTTGTACTTTGGTAAGAGGCTACCTAACAGACAGAGTTTCCCAAAATAATGCCTGCTGCCTCCCAGACAGATGTGGGCACATGTATGTGTGCACGGGTGTGAGGGCAGGGTAGAGTGTGGGGAGGCCCAGCTATTTCTGTAGGATAATTTTAAAGTTTCCTGTTTGTATTCAGACAATCTCATTTTTAATATGTGTCTGATACCAGCGCTGTGGGGAGACCGGGCACACAGTGGTCCAGCACGATGACCTCGAAAGGCCTGTGCTGGGTGTCAGGCTGGGAGGGGACACTGGATCACACAGAACCTGTCTCCACGTACTAACTGGCAGCAAGAGATCGATGACCAGAATGAACAAGCAAACACTGTTCTGTTCTCAGTTCTAAAAATAATTGGCTATCCATTCATTGATAATTTCAGTAAGGCGACAACGCTAACCTTTATTTTTAAGGGATCAAGACGGCTTTACAGAAGCACTAAGCAGCGGGGCTGCACGAAAAGGGGCATTTGAAGCCTGGCTGAGATGCAGATAACAGGTCGGATGACAGAGCCTGTGCACGCGCTCACTTCCGCAGACGGGCCTCGTCTGTCCCGGCAACACCGACGTCAAAGCACGGAAACCGACCGCAGATCCGGACCCCAGGCCACATCTCCTAATCAGAACCCACATTCTGAATTTAGTCTCAGCAAAACATCATCTATCAGACGAAAATAATGTCGTTAATTTGAATTTCATTGATTTTAAATTTTGCTTGCATTTAATTTGAAAATGTGTTTTGGTTTTATGGTCCTAAGAGAACCATAAGCATAAGTTGCCAGTTTACCCTGAGTTTGACATTTGTACATAGTTAAGCAACATAATAATAAAAGTATTTACACCATCACGCTGGCGGAAGGGCCACGGGATGCCTATTTTTCTTTAAAAGGGCTCTTCATACATTACTGAAGTTTGAGAAACGCTGTTGTGGCCCATGATTTTATGAAATGTTCCTCTGGAATACAAACCCTCTCGGACACCATCATGTGGTGGCGCCGCCTCATTTCAGGGCGTCCTCGGGGAGGGCCGGAAGGAGAGGGGAGCTCCCCCAGGAGCAGGCGGCGGGTGAGCAGCAGGGATGCAGGAAGAGCCCAGCCCCGGCTCTCAGCACTGTTCTAGAGTATTCCAGGGGCTCCAGATACAACAACCGCCCGGGGCTGGAGAGGCGCAGCACTTCAGTGTCACTGACCTTGTCCTCACAGCAAAGCAGACACAGCTGTTGGCCCTGCCATTCTACAGAGACGGACGCCGAGTCCTAGAGAGGTTGTCAGAGACCAGTGACGCAGAAGACCTGGCCTCAACCGAAAAGGTTTTAATGGCGTGAACTTCGGATCCACTTCCCCCGAAACCAAGACAGTCCCTTCCCTTCCTGGAGTTCACGTTTGTTTCCGTAACCCAGCCCCCGGCACGGGCCCTGCCTCCTTAGAGATGCTGGGTAAATATTTGCTAAACCAACGAGCTCTTTCTTAACCAAGAAGCGGCGTGTGGAGACTCCCCTTCCCACGGATGGCTCCGAGACACGTGAGGACGCAGAAGCTGCTCCTGCTCGGAAGCCCCCGAGACGCCCCGGGGCTCCCTGTTGCCGTTCAGCACCCAGGATGCTGGAGACAGAGCTCAATTATCGGCTGCGATAAGGGGGCCGGCGCCTCCCCAGAGCCCACACAAAGCGCAGAGACCTTGTCGCTGAAGAGGCCGGGACGGGGAGAGGAGGCCGAGAGCGGGGAGCGCAGGCTGCGGGGAGCCGTCTGCAGGGAGGGTCAGGGCGCACAGCCACCCCAGCCCGGGACCCGCACGTCCTCCCAGGGCGCCCCATGCCACTGTCTGGGCCTTTGTCACCTACTCTGGAATCAGACCAGGCCTGGAGCGAAAGAAAACAGCAGCTGCCATGGAAGACCGACCTGCAGAACTGCCAGCAACAAAAACCCTCTCGCCTCTCAGTTATTGTTTTAAAGAGGAAAACTAAGTCGGCTTCCACACGGGCCCTGGTGTGAGAGGCGCTACCAGTGAGCCTGGTGGACGGCGATGGGACAGCTGACAATAAGGGACAAATACCATCTTCTTAGGCAAATCCCAGCAGCTGCTCCCCCACCAGACATGCCGCTCCCACGCCGGTGGCAGACATCACTAATCAATTACAACGCCGTTGCCCTCAGAGTGTGGACAACCTCACGATCCTCCAGCACAGAGACCCAGGCAGCCGTGACCAAGAGGTTTGTGCTGCCTTGGAAGGAGGAAGCTCTCTGCCCTGGCTGGCCTCGCCCACCCGCCACTGATTCATTCAACACGCAGAGGCTTGGAGCAGTCACGTATCTGCCCAAGGTCACATGGTGGGCGCGAGGCAGAACTGGGCCAGAATTCGGGGCTCCTGACTGCCGGGCCGGTGTTCTTCTCACCTGGAAAATCCCACTGGCTTCCTTCCAGGCTGACAGCCAACTCCCGATGACTGAGGGACAAGGACAGCAGGAGAGAGGAGAACTCAGGAACCTGGGGCTCTACCAGAGCGAGGCCGCCTCGCCCTGCTCTGAGCAGCAGGAACTTCCGCAGCCTCTGACCATTCCCCGGCAACATACTTGTGGGCAGAGAGCCGGAGAAGGAGACGGGTCTGGGACAGATTTTCTGCAAGGTGGGCTCTCGAGCGAAAGAAGCAGCATCTGTTTCTGTCCCACCCGACTCTCGGGGCTGCATTTGTTCCTGGGACCCTCAGTGGGAAGGCAGGCTCTGAGGAACGCGGCTTCGTGCCGCATGCACTGCTGAGTGTCTGGGGGGACATGGGGCGACAAGGGCCTGGGGAGGCCCTGAGCTCTCTGAAAGGGTGTGGGGACACCTGACCAATGCCTCCCCACACGGCAGAGAACGGAAGCTTCGTGTTTTTCTACAGCACCAGGTTCATGCACAAAACCGCTAAATGAAAACGGACCCTAGGAGAGAGCACAGGCTTTCTAGGCCAGTTGTCACTTCCCTGGGTTCAATTAGCCTCGATTTCAGTAACAAAAAGTATTTACTCTTTACATAGCGTCTAACTATTGAGTGTTAACTTCCTTCTGACCACAGAATCAGACCAGCTGTGGCTGACCCCAAAGCCCAGAGGATTCTCTCCTTTCTTTGACCCCCCAGACTCTTCTGCTGACATACTTCTGGGTGGAAGTGTCTCAAAGGGAGTGAGTCTGGCCTCTCATTCCCTCAGAAATCCCTTTTGTAGCACCCTTAACAAACAGTTGCCTTAGCCTTCACTTGCTTACCCCTGCTAATGGGCAACTCGCTACTGCAGGGAGTGGTTTTTCCTAATCCTTTACGGATTAGGATCTTCCTTTTTTAAAAGCTTTTTATTTTGAGATAATTATAGACTCACATGCACTTGTAAAAATAATGAGAGACCCTATATACCCTTCACCCAGGTGCCCCCAATGGTAACATCTTACAAAACTACAGTAAAATATCGCAATCAGGAAATCGACACTAAGAGAATCACTGGCCTTATTCAGATTTCACCCGTAACACGCATTCATTTGTACGACTGTGCATATTTCGTTCTATGCAATTTTATCACATGTAGATTTGTGTGACCACCACAGTCAACGGTCGACGGACAGAATGCTTATATCACAAGGCTCCCCCAGGCCACCCTTTTATAGCCACACCTCCCGCCCTTCCCCTCGCCTCCCTGACCCCCAGCTGCCACTCGCCTGATCTCCATCTCCATAATTTTGTCGCTTTAAGAATTTATATAAATGGGCTCAGGCAGTAGGTAACCTTTTGAGATTAGCTTTTCCTACTCAGCATAATTCTCTAGCGACTCACCCAGGTCATGTGTATTGATAGTTCCTTTCTATTGCTGAGTAGTATTCCGTGGTATGGACCTGCCACAGCTCATTTCACCCTTCGCTCGCTGAAGGACACCTGGGTTGTCTCCAGTCCTTGGCTGTTATGAACAAAGCTGCTGTGAACACTTGTGTACAAGTTTCTTTCTTTCCCTTTCTTTCTTTGGTAATGGCTTTATTGCATATATTTACGTACCATACAAATCACCCATTTAAAGTGTACAATTCAATGGTTTTTAGTATATTCCACAGAGTTGTGCAACCATCACCACAGTCAATTTTAAAAAATTCTCATCAGCTTTAAAAGAAACACTACATCCTTTAGCTATCGCCTCCAACCCCCTTCCCCAGCCCTAGGCAACAACCATCAACCTACTGTCTTTCTACGTTTGCCTATTCCAGACGCTCCATATAAAGGAAATCATGTAATACGTGGTCTTCTGCGACTGGCTTCTTTCACTTAGCATGTTTCAAGGTTCATCCATGGTGCAGCGTGTGTCAGTACTGCATTCCTATTTTTGGCAGAATAACGTTCCACTGTAGGACACACCGCATCTTGCGTATCCACTCAGGAGCTCATGGACGTGAGGACAGGTTTCTGTAGGAACACGGGTTTCCGTTTCTCCGGCACAGAAGCCCACGAGCGCACTGCCGGCTCACACGGTAAGCGCACGCTGCGTGCGTCAGAAACCGCCCATGCTCTTTGCCAGCAATGTGTGAGTGACCTGGTTTCTGCGCATCCCCGTCAGCATTGTGTGTTCCTCCTATATTTCATTTTAGCCATTCTGACAGGTGTGTACTCACTTGTTTTTACTCTGAACAGAATCCGATTCTCAGTCACAGCTGCTGTGGGTCTCAGCCCCGAGTCTCCTCCTGGGCATTCCTTTTGCAGGCTGGCCAGCCCTAGACCCTCTAATCTGCTATATCTGGTCAGTTCATGGCTCTCCTTCCTAAACCAAGGGGCCTCAGATTAACAGCTGGATTCAAGATGTGGTCACGCCACAGAGGGGGTGGGACATCTGGGGTTCGGACCACGTGATTCTGCTGAGCCGCAGTCCACAGCTGGCTAAAGTGAACCCTGGAGTCCGTTCAGATCCAGGATCTCTGTTCCAAATAAAAAGATGTGAGGCAACGACTCCTATATTCTGTCTTTGGGGCATTCCCTTAAGGAAAGAACCGACTCCTTGGCATTTTTCACTCACTGCCTTGTGAGTGATATCATCTTCCCCGGTGGGCCCATGTTTTCCTCAGAGTGCGGCGATCCTGGGGACAGGAGTGGGACCTGTGAAACTGGCACGGGGCTTAGCTCACAGTGAGCACGTGTGAAGTTTTTGCAGACTGGCCTTGACAAGCACCATGAACATGTAAAATCTCCGAGGGAATTACTGCTGAAGACGGCCACATCGTAAGGGCTTAACAGATATGTGCAGGACAGGTACGTGAAAGGGCTAAAAAGGGCGCGCGCCCCCCACCTTCCCCCCCCCCCCCCCAATCTGCAGTGGGAGACACAGCACAGAAGGAGTGACCAGGGCTGTTACTCCGCCTTTGCCACCTGCTCGGTTCCCCCGGCCCGTTGGGGAGGAATGGGTGAAATCATGCGCACAGAGCTCCTCAGGCCCTGGCAGCGCCCTCTGGTAAGGGCTGTGTGACATCCAGAGATACCATCCACAGCGTCTCCATCATGGCGGAGAACGCGCCAGTGAGGAATGCGGACGCAGCGATGCTGATGCTACAGCTGACACCGCCGAGCTAAGAGGCTGCCCTGAGCCAGAGCGGCTCCCGACAGGAAGGTCCGCCGGAACCCTCAACACACGCATGCGCACCGACGGATCACCAGCGAAGCGCAACTTCGGCACCGCTGCTGTGGCCACTGGTTACGTGTGAGGCACCACGGGCGAGGAAAGGCTGTGCGTGCGGAGCGGGGCTGGCGCCTCCCTCGACTGCCCACCCCACACGACACATCAGCCAGCTGGCTGCTGAGCATCAAAACACGGAAGTCGTCCTCGGTTCCCACCAGCACCACAGTCCCCACTGAAGCCGTCAGCAGGACTCTGCAAACACACCCCTGAATCGACCCGGCAGCCCACTGACACCGCTGACACCTGGGCCAAGCCACAATCACCGCTGGCCCGGGGACTGCAAAGGCGTCCTCGCTGGCCTCCTCACACCCACGCTGACCCTCTCTTCACAGAGCTTTTACAGATATCAGATCCCACTGCTCTCTCTGCTCAGAACGTCCCGCAGCCGTGGATAAAACCCGGAGACCTGGGTGCGGAGGGCGGAGCACAGCCCAGGCGATCTTGAAGAACAAAGACGCCAGACGCCAGCTATCACAGAGCCACGGTAATTAGGACGGTGCGCATTGGCACCGGGCTAGACGAATGGACCTGCGGGACAGAGCAGAGTCCAGAAGCAGACCCTCACACGCACGGGCACCTGATTTATGAAAAAATCGATACCGCAGAGCAGAGGGGAAAGAACGGCCTGCGCAAATAAATGATGTTGGACCCACCGCACCTCCATGTGGGGAGGAAACCGCCCTTGATCTCTACCTCACGCCATACACAAAAATCAATTCCAGATGGATTGCATCCCCAGATGTGAAAGGTCAAGGCTTTCAAAGGAAAACATAGGAGACTATCTTCATGAGCTCGGAGGAGGCAAAGATGTCTTAAACAGGACACAAAAGGTTCTAACCACGTGAGAAGAAAATGACAAACAGACAATATTAAAATTAGGAGCCTCTGTTCATCAAAGGACACCAGTAAGCTACTCACGAAACGAGAGAGGGAGGAATTGCAATAATATGTCCACCAAAGGGCTCGAATCCAGAATATACAAAATTATAGAAAAAGTAATTAGAAAATTAGGAAGGAAAAAAATCAGACAACCCAATTAAAAAAATGGGCAGAAGACTCAAATAGGCATTCCACAAAGTATATCCAAACACTCATAAACACATCAAAAAAACATCTGATTTCCTTAGTCATAGGGGAAGCACAAATTAAAATCACAATGCAAGGATACCATTATACACCCACCAGAATGGCTAAGAGAAAGACAGACAGTACCAAGTGTTGGCGGGGATGAGGGGCAACCAGAACACACATACTGATGGCAGCAGTGTCAATCAACACAACTCCTTTGGAAGGCTGTTTGGCAACATTTACTGAAGCTGAAGCACGCACCCCCACGACCCAGCAATTCCACTTGCACAGGTACACCCTAGGAAATGCAAGCACAGAGTCACCAAAAGCCATACACAAGAATGTTCACAGGAGCGCTCATTATTCGAAACTGCCAAAAAGCTGCCAACTACCCAAATGCTCACCAGCAAAAGGGTTAAGCATATTGTCATACTGTCACATGATGGAATACCATACGGCAACGAGAATGAACAAGTTATACACACAATGTAACCACACAGACGAATCTCACAAAAAATTATTGAGCAAAGTGGCCAGACCCCCAAGAATATACATGTTATGATTCCCTTTACATAACACACAAAGACAGGCAGCGCAAATGCAGGTTTTGGGGAGTCAGGAGAGTGGCGGGCAGGGAGATGGGGCAGGGACTGAGCGGGCAGGGGCAGCTCTGCGGCTGAGCAGGGCGCTGGTGACACGGGTGCCCATTCTAACCACTCAAGTTGTACACCAAGGGTCTGTGCGCTCCTCAGTAATTAACTTACACGTCAGTAAAAAGTTTAAACAACACCCATCCACAGCCCTCATCAGGGCCCACAAGATGGGGCCCCTGTCCACCGTCTCATCTCAGCACGGTCCCTCTGTCCCTGCTCCCCCTACCCAAACCACACTGCCCGTTCTCCTGCAGGCCAAGCTCATTCCCACTTCGGGGCCTGGCACGTGCCATCCCCAGATCTGCATGCTGCTCCCTCCTTCACACCCTCAGGTCCCCACTTGAATGTCCCCTCCTCCGAGAAGCCTTCCCTGACCACCCCATCTAAGACACCCTCTACTGGGCGAACAGTGTCCCCCAGATTCATGTCTGCCAGACCCTGTGAATGGGATCTTCCTTGGAGATAGGGCTTCTGCAGACGTGATCAAGGTCAGGGGAGGTCATACTGGACTAGGGTGGGTCCCAAATGCAATGATGGTGCTTAAGCTCGGCTTACAATGAACAATGAATGCATTCATTCCACCCTTCAAAACTGCAGCAAAACGGAAGTGAGGGATGCATGGAGGAGGCACAGAGGATTTCAGGGCAGTGAAAACACACACTGCAACGATGGATATGTGTCACTATATGCTCGTCCAAATCCATAGACTGCCTAACGTCAAGAGTGAACCTAATGTCCACTCTGGACTCGGGGTGCTAACGACGTGTCTGTGGAGGCTCACTGATTCTAACAAACGTCCCCTCGGGGGGATGCAGATGATGGAGGCGGCTGTGCGTGTGTGGGGCAGGGGGTTGTGGGAAATCTCTGTATCCTCCTCTCAATTTTGTTGTAAACCTCAAACTTCTCTAAAAAAACTGTCTTAAAACAAACAAACAAAAAACCTCAGCAAAGCAGGAGGAGCGGGGAGACCCCTGAGGAGGAAACAGTCACAGCCGGGCAGTGGCCTGCAGAGCGAATGCGGCAACTCTCTGAGCTGCGGCCTCCCACGCCGTCCTCGGGTCAACGGGGCGGCGCGTCACCTAACGTCTGTCCTCTTTACCAGGGGAGGGAAAAATGCCTTAGTGTGTAATTAAAACCAGAAGACAAAACCGAATTCCCTTCGAGTGGGCCTCATCTCCAGAGGCCCTGGGCTCAGTTTAGTCCAGGCTCAGCAAACCTTCCCCATTCAGGGCCAGAGGGTCAACATTTCACAGGTTTGCAGGCCATTCGGGGGCTGAGACAACTACTCAGCTCTGCCCCGCGGTGAGAGAGCAGCACAGACGAGAGGAAAGTGAGCGGCGTGGCCTCTGCCCAGGTCCCCCTGTCGAGGGGGGAAGCACCCGGGGTCAGCTTGCCCTCCTCACCCCAGCCCTTTCAGAACCTGGCCAAGGGTTCTCTCCCCGACACACGCCTTCGCGAACGTCTGGGCTGGCTCTCAGGAGCTGCCCACGGCTGTTTTGCAGAGCTGCTTCCCCAAGAAGCCGGGGACAGAAAGTGGCCCCACCATCCAGGCCTCTGCGGAGAGCAGATCACAGGGCTCACGGCTTCGAGAAAAGCACTGCTGACAACCAGGGGTTAATCGGGCAGGGAGCCCACACCTGGGCGAGGGGCCCGAGGCGGGGGCAGCTCGAGAGGAACTCGGCAGGCAAGCTGTTGTCAGCCACCTCCCTGCACGGTCACGGTCACAGTCACTGTGAGAGGAAATGAGGAGGAAAGGGGCCAGGGACGGACAGACACTGTCCACAAGGCGGGCACGAGAGGTACACAGGGGACAGGAGATGCAAGCTGCGTAATTAAGGCCTCCAGACACCTGTTGGGAGCTCACCCATTCACACCCCTCGCAGGTGGTTCACACTTCTGGGGAAAAAATAACAGGAAAAAAAAAAAAAGCAGCTCAGATGAAAGAAAAGCTCTCCATCTGTAGCCTGCAGCCCTGGTCCAGCCTGCCTGAGGCAGTGCTTCTGCCAGCAGCTCCCTGACAACCCGACCCTCGGGGACAGTTCCAGGGTGGCTGGGTGGGGCTCTAGAGTGAGAGAGACCTGGGTGTGCTGCTGCAGAGCTGTGTGACCCTGGGTGAACCCTTAAGCTCTCTGTGCCTCACGTGCCCCGTCTTGATCAGGATTCCATGGAGGAAGGCTTTGCACAGTGGACCTACGTGCTTAGCAAACATTTACCAAGCACCGCTCTGGACCAGGGCCCTGTGGACACAGCGAGGCACTCCCAGCACCCACACAGACAGCACTCTGAGGCAGCTGTGAGGCTGGGTGGGATGACAACAAGGCAGCGGGGTCACAGGACAGGCCGAGCTGCCCGGCTGGGGTTGGGAGAGCGAGCGGTGGCCTCAGTGGCAACAGCACAATCCAGGGCTCCTGAAGGAGCTGACCACCCAGAGGAGCAGCACCAACAGCCACGCTCGCTGGGTGCCTCCGCCACGCTGGGCGCCGGGCCGGGGGTCTCACACACACTGACTCATGTCACCGCCCAGCTATCAGGCAGGCTCTTACTGTCCCCATTTACAGATGAAGAAAACCGAGGCTCAAAGAGGTGAAGTGCCACAGCCTTGGAGAGAAGGGAACTGTCTGGAACCCGTGCCGTCTGCTGCCAGAGCTGACGCTGCGCTATCACCGCCTCACTCGGGATCGGGGGCCATCTGGAGGCTCTGACGTCATCCTAAGGAGCAGGTCAGTCTGAGACGCGCTCCTCGGCAATGACCCACAGGGGGAACCAGGGACGAGGACGATGAAGAGAGACGCTTCTGTAGAAGGCCCCCCCTCCTGGGCTTTGTACACCCGTTCTCGCACTGCGCCCCCCCCTGCTGGGGACGGAGGGAAGCGGGCAGGACCTCCAGTCCCACCCTGCAGATGAGCGAACGGAGGGGGCCGGCTGCCAACCTACACTCTAAGCTGCCGCTGCTCTGCATGCAGGACTGTCTCCGTAGTTTGCAGGGCCTGGTACAAACTGAAAATTCAGGGCCCCTTATTCAAAAAGTAAGAATTTTAAGACAGTGACAGCAGAGCCTTAAACCAAGCGTGGGGTCTTGTGGGACTTCACAGGTCACAAGCTCACAAGGCCAGCCCTGTGTGCAGAACCCCTTCCGGGAAGATCACTGCCTTCCAGAACCCAAGGCTGCCCACGGAGTACAAAAGACACGGGCGAGCTGAGGGTCCTTCTAGAACGGCCCCTGTGCCTCTCCGTGCCCCGGTTTCCTCATGCAGAAATGGGCGCTCAGCAGCTCCACCTCGCTGGGTGGCTGTGAAGACGCACCCACACCATGAGCACTGGGGGTGTGGTCAACCCAGTACCAACTGGTTCCCAAGGGCTCTCTGCTCTCTCAGGGCCACCACCTGGAACGGGGTGGGAACGAGGCCCGTCCGCCCAACGCTCTGGCTCTGCACACATGCGCCTGCGCGTCAGGATGCGAGGCCGTGAACGCGGAAGCTTCAGCTGAGGGGAGACGGAGGCCCCATTGAGGCATCCGTGCGGCTGCTCTCGGAACCGCCCCCTGTGCTGGGGACTTTCAAATCCAGGCTTTCTGATGGAGGTGGGGAAAGAATAAGACAAACACAGCAAAACACGCACATGCATGCACACGCACACACACCCCTACCCCAGAGCAAACCCTGATGGGAGGGAGAGACCAGTCTACACCCTTCTTTCAGAACACATACCGACTTAAGACCGTGGGCCCCGCTGGGAGAGCCGACGGCTGCTTCCACCCTGGCTCCCATTGTGGGGGAGGCGCGTGCTCCTTGCACCCATGCACACATCTGCATGCTCTGGGCTCCCGTTTGTCTTCCATGTTCCCTTTCAGGGCTGGAGGGGGACCAGTTCAGCCTGGGTCTCCACTCCCTACGGACTCTCTCTGCCCCAGAACCCAGCTGGATGGGGACAGGGTTACAGTTTGGGAGGACAGGGAGGGAGGGACATACTTAGGGGAAGGACGAAAAAAATAAGAAAATGCTGCAGAGAATTTTCAGGATTCGGCACTGCTGTTAAAGACGCAGGTTCTGTTGAGTCAGACCCGCCGGGGCTCAGAGCCTGGCGCACTGGTGTTGGGCAGTTTAGTAAGGACCCCAGCTCACCTTTGCCAACTACCTGCTCCATGCAGGCCCCGCACTCAGGGCTTCACCCACAAAATCGTGTTTATTCCTTTCAACAGCCCTGGAAGCAGCCAGGTGGTGAGGGAGCGGGGTGCCAGCCCCAGCCCTGACGACCCAGCAGGAGGAATGGGGCTCCAGAGCAGGAATGTTCACTGGAAAATGGAGACGATGACTATTCTGCAGGGCTGTTTCGGTAAACAGAGCCCTAATAACAAAAAGCCCATCAGCCACAGTGCCCGGCACAGAGGTCGGGCTTGGAAACTGTACTGAACGACAACGATAAACAGTCACGCTTGTTCCTCCATCATCGTCACAGATCACAGCACATGTTATCATTAGTATTACTACTCTTACTTTATGCCAGGGCAAACCGGGGCCCAGAAAAGGGGTGGCAGAGAGAGGAGAATGGCCGGCTCCGAATCCATGGCTGTGTCCACTCTGACTTCTAAAGGGTGAGCCTCAAACTGTCGCAGGAGATGAACCCGCAGAAACGGGCACCTGTCTGGCCAGGTGGAGGCGCTGGAGTGCAGTGCTGAGGCCCGACTGGAAGGCTGGTGGTCTCCAGGGGAGACCCAGGCAAACGTTGCTGCCCCAGCTCACATGCAGGCCCCTGGGGGGCTGGAGAGGGTGGGCAGCCTGCTGCCCCCAGCAGGCCGTCTTGAGAACCTGGCCCCGCTCTCCCACAGCCCTGCATTCATGCCTGCACGTGCTGGGAGTGTCACAGCATGACTGTCACTGTCGCTTTCCTCCCTGGCCTCTGCAGACAGTAAACTCCTCGAGAGAGGGCCTGTGTCTCTCCTGGAACGGCGGCATGCTGGGTGCCTAGAGCAGGGCCTGGTACCAACGACACACTCGCTCTCACAGGACAGTGGTTCCACTCAAATGATCTGGGGGGCAACGCCTCCTTCGAGAGCCAAGAGAAGGACAACAGGCTGCAGAGAGGAGGGGTTCCAGGCCAGGGCTCTGGGCAGAGCACTGAAACGTCAATCCTGGCTCAGCTGTGTGGTCCTGGGCAAGACCCTCACCTCCCTAGTCTCCAGTTCCCTTCCGGGGGCAACAAGGGATAACAGCACCCCCTCCCTCACAGGGTGCTGTGCAGCTTAAAGGGGAAGACGCTGCACAGGGAGGTGTGCAGCCGCCACCACCATAAGAGGGAGTTGTGGCTCTGACTGCACCTGGCAGGACAAGCCCACAACACCTGCCTGGCAAAATGGACCAGTCTGTCCCCCTAAACCCTGAAACCCTTCCCTGGCTCTGACTTTTGCTGGCCATTGGCTTTGTCTGAAATCGGGGCTCCGGTTTCCTGGACAAGCTCCGGCTCCCTGAGCAGGCTCACAGCGACCCCTGCTGCCCACCCTTTGGAAATGCCTTAAGCCCAGCCCCAGTGACAAAGCAGGGAAGCCCTGGAGAAGGCGTTCCGCGTCCAGGGGTGAGGAGAGCACCCATCAGGACAACGGCAGGGAGAAGAAACGGCGCACGTAATTACGTTTGGTGGACACTAATGCCTTGTCTTCTCGAAATGAATATAAGATGCCAGATCAAACGGCGCGTTTCCCCCTTCCGCCGCGGTCTTTTGTTCCCGGGCTGAGCATCATCCTACACAGACTGTGGGACCAAGCAAGATTGTCATTCGGCGGGGTCCTCTTTCCTGATCGACACGAGCTGTTTGCAGCAACCCCATTTTCATCTGGTAGTTCTTAAATTGGACTCTTTTTCAAGAGCAGAGGCATGTGAAAGCCCACAGACGCGCGAGGCCGAGGATCTCTCTTCTCGTAAGGACAACCTCGCTCATGAACTCCTCTTGACTCATCTCTGGGTGCAGGGAAATGGAGGTGACCCCTCTCACCAGGCTGTTCCTGCCACGCAGGAGCCCCAGGGCTCACAGCTGAGACCCCGGCACTCAGAAATCCCGAGCGGGCTGGCATCTTTGCATCAGCACCCGCTAACCACATCTGTTGTGAACTGCGCCCCGTGTATGATTTAGGACAGAGGGGAGGAGGATAGTGATTTTTGAAGCAAATTCCCCAAATGGCTCCTCATTCTTTGAACCAAAGAGTGAGAGCAAAAAGAGTAGATTTCACACAAAGATACAATTTTCCAGTCCCCAAAATATAGGACTTATATTTTGTACCCACAGTTGAACTTGAGACATGCTAACCGGTAATTCTAATCGGGACTTAGCTCTCCTGATCTTCAGGCCAGAAGTGGACAAACACAGGTTGAACGAACAGGGCCTAGTCCGCAGAATCCAAAATGCTCAGCCATGTGCCGACCACGAGGCTGGAGGCCCCCAGAGCACTCTTAGATGGCAACGAAGCCTCCACAATCTGCCCAGTTAGGGCTAATGTCACCTGCTGTTACATTCTAAGGGCCAGGTGGCCTCTCTCTGCGCCACCCAGCACACACCTGGTGACTGGTCGGCTTGAACCATCTTCCACGGATGCCCCCCCAAAAGACGTTCCATCCAGGGCCTGGTGCTGGGGTAGACCTAACCAACCCGAGAAATCAGACACTGTGATGGACCGGCATGGGGGCCGCATGCTGCTGGCCCTTGGGCCATCTCAGGCCCACAGACAGACTTTGTCCACACAGTGTTTATTTCCAGAAACTGAATTAGTTGCCAACTTACTCCCCCTGAGAATCCAGACTGCCAGTTTCTTTCCAAACGCGGGAGAACTGGTCCTATTATATCGGCATTCCTGCGAGGAGTCACGGCTGGCCCTCCAGCCCATCAGTCCCCACCCAGTCTGCTCTTCCAGGCTGTCACCTGCCTGGCCCCCCGAGAGATCACTGAGTTTCTGACCCCTGTGCTGGTAGCTGCTGCTGGATTTCATTCTTTATGATTCACCCTCATTTCAAAAGGGGCTCTCCAGAGACAGCAATGCATGCAGCGGCCCCCACCCCTGGCTGGACATTAGAATCCCCTGGGGGGTTCTGATCAAAATACCCACGTCTGGGCCCCACCCTTGACCCACAGACTCCAGTTCTCTGGCGGTGGAGCCTGAGCAAAGGTAAGTTTATGAAAGTCGCCAGGTAACCCGATGGTGCCGCCAGGGTGGAGAATCCCCAGCTTAATCCCAAAGAATGACTTGGGTAGAAATTCCAGACAGCTCATAAGCAGAGCCAGGCTTCAGCCCCCCGGGCTCCTGGCCCTCCCCGGGTTACTGACGGGGAGGAGAAGGCTGAGCGCCTTTCTTGTCCCGCCTGGGGAGGGAGAGGCCTAACCGTTCTGAATTCTCTCTGCACAGTGCTCTGGAGAGCAGTGTCTGAGACGCAGGGAGAGAAATGAGAGGCAGCAAAGACGACCTTTGCAGGACCAGGGCGCTGGCCCTCCTGAGGACCTGACGGCCGCCCACAGCCCCTCGGACTGAAGCAGTGCTTCTCACCTGAAAAGCTCTCGGATCTCGCGGCTGTCAGCCTGGAAGGGGATGTTCCGCACCAGGATCTTGGAGGTGGTCTGCTTCCGGGGAACCTGTTTCTTCCGAGCGGATGTCAGGGCTGGCCTGGAGGGTCGGGGAAAGGGTTCCGTTTAATCGGGGCATCAGTGGCTGCTGCCCTACACTGACTCCACCTCCCCCAGCACCAATGCTCGTGTCCTCCCTTCAGGGGACGGATTCCAGGAGCTGGTGTGGAGGAGGCTGAGATGAAAGGGGAGGGAGGCAGTCTCCCCTGGGTGACACGGAGCATAATTATCTTCTCCCCAAAACAGCTCTGGACGTCAGGCTGACACATCCCCCCTTGGGTGCCTGCTGTCCTTCATCTGACAGACTCAGGGACTATCGGGGACTTCAGAAAGGAATGCTGACGAGGGGGGGCTGGTTCCTCCCTACATCTAACCTCCTGCGTCGCCCCGGCTGACCTAGCCAGAGGTCGTGTTTTGAGACATTTCATCACTAACCCGGGGAGCATCATCCAGGAGCCTGGAGCGGTTTCTAAGCATGCAGATGGACCAAGGGTGAGGTGGGAAACTCTGAGCCTGAAGCTCAAGTCCATCCTAATGCAGCCCTACCTCCCCTGTCCCCTTGCTCTCCCAGGGAAAAACCCAGCTCCATCCAAGCAGGGTAGGGTCATGAGCACGGCTGCGAGTTAACAATCTGGGAGTGAATGCCAAGTCGGTCACTTAGGATCTGTGTGATCTTGGGCAAGTAACTTGGCCTCTCTGGGCCTCAGTTTCCTCAACTGCAGAATAGGCCTAATAACACTGACAACCTCAGCAGACTGTTTGAGGAGTTAACGAGAGAGGACATGTCAAACACTCTGCATGGTGCCCGCCATGTGGGAAACACTCAATGAACGGCAGCTGTTATTATGACTATCGTGATGACTCACTTCCTTCAAGTCTGACCCACGTCACCTCCTCAGGGCCCTTCCCTGACTCTCTCCACTAAACGGCCACTCACCCCCACCCCTCATCCTTATTCTTCTCCCTGGCATGCATCGCCATGTGACAGCATGTGACATGTTTAAGCATGTGGCTCTTGACTGTCTGTCCTCTAGCGCTATGCTGTCCAACACAGCAGCCACCAGCCACATGTGGCTAGTGAAATCTAAATGAAAACAAATCCAAATTAAAAACTCAGTTGCTGGGGTGGCCAGCTCCAGGATGGTCCCAGTGACCCCTGCCTCTCGGTAGTCATGCTCGTGTAGGCCCCTCCCACGCTGCATCAGGACAGGCCTGTGCGACCAAGAGAAGACCGAAGTGATCGTCTTCTGATCTAACTTCTGAGACTAGGTCACCGAAGACATCATCGCCTCCTCCTTGTTCTCTCTCGGACCACTCGCTCCAGAGGGAACCAGCTGCCATGCGGTAAAGACACTCATGCAGTCCCAGGGAGAGGCCGATGTGGTGAGGAACTGAGGCCTCCTGCCAACAGCCAGTGAAGGCGCCATCTTGGAAGCGGATCCATCAGCCCCAGCGGAGCCTTCTGCCCCGGCCAGCATCCTGACTGCAGCCTCACCAGAGACCCCGAGACAGAACCACCCTGCGAAGCTGCTCCTGAGTTCCTGACCCACAGAAACTGTGAGAATAAACGTTTGCTGTTTGAAGCTGTTAAGTCTTGAGACATTTCGTCACGCAGCAGTCGATAACTAATACAGTCATACTAGCCACAGTTCAAGTGCTCAAAAGCCATGTGTAGCAAGTGGCTACCACGCTGGACAGCACAGATGTAGAACATCCTAGAACATTTCCATCGTTGCAGAAGGTTCGATCAAGAACATGGCCCTAGAATGCACACTCCACAGGCAAATCCCCTCCCCTGCACCTGGGAAGAGTGGCGCACAGTAGGCTTCCTACAATTTTTTGTTGAATAAAAGAACAACTACACAAACACTGACTAGGAATTGAGAGGTTGTAAAGTGACTTCAGCCTGCTCCCTGGAGACAGGGGACTGAAAAGAAAGATGCCACCACTGGCTGGGTGCTCATGTACATGGCACGCGCCAGATGCTTCACACACAACCTCTAGTTACCACAATTTGCTTTACAGGCAACGTCATCTGCCCAAAGGCACACAGCTCCTGGCTTAGAACCCAAAGCTGTGGGGCTCAAAGCCTGGGCTCCCACCTTCACCCCAGAGCTCAGGAACCCATGCTAGACTTCTGCGGGCTCCCGCACCAAGCCTTCTGCTCGCTCAGGATGCTCAGCCTGGCACAGACTGGGATGCGTGAACAATACACCTGGGCAGGATTCACAAGGACCATGAAAACAGGGAGAGAAGGAAGACAGAGCAGCAGCTCCAGGTCCCAATGACCACAAGAAATGACCAACTGGCCGAAAAGTAGCAAATAAAGATGGTAACGCAGCCAGTACTGTGAGAAGCAGTCATTCTATCACCTGAGGTGGGTAGATGATAATGACAGTGACAATAATAATAATGGCTTACGCCGGGCACGTGTTATATGGCGGGCACTGTTCAAACCCCCTCAAGTGTATTAGTTCATTTAGACACACAAGCAGGTGGAGGTGAAGGAGCAAAACTAAAACCCTCAAAAACCCTCCACTACTTCAGGGAACTGGGCATTGGGCCGATGAGTCCGTCTCCAGCTCTAACAGCTACTGAATCTCCTTCCAATTAACTGCAGGCCATCTCTGGGCACTGCTGTCGAGCTCCAAGAAGGAAAGCTCCATAAAGAGAAACGTCTAGGTTTTATTGCCTTTTCTGGTTCGTCCAGAGCACCAGCAACTTACCACTCTCCCTTGGTTATTTATACCACCAAGAGGAGCGGAATCGGCTGGTTTCTCCTGCACTCGTTCCTTTTATTATATTAAATGCACATTAAACATTTACTCAAAGGACGGGCGAGTACCGGTTCATCAGGGAAATGGTGTTGGTGCTGGCAAATGCAACACCACCTTAATTAGGACGAGTCCCAAATGGCGAGAGGGGGCGGGTGGAGAGGACACAAAGGGTCCCGAGACACCCTCCAGGGCGCCGGTACCAGAGCGGGAGCGACCGACTCGGATCAAAGTAAAGAGGGAGGCACCACAGACTCACTTTGTGGCTCGTTCCGAAATCCTCACTTCCAGCTTGTGGCTGTCCACGACGTGACCCTAAGAGAGAAGACAACACAGCCTGTCCCTCCGTCCTCCTAGAAATACTCACCCGTGGTCCTGCCCCTCCTTGGAGTGGGCTTCAGCCGAGTGAGCGGAAAGGAAACTTGGGAGGGGGACTGACTGCTCCCAGGCAGAGGGGCTGGCTGGAAGCAAGGACAGGGAGCAGCTTCTCCCGGAAATGGCTTACGCCGAGCCAGGCAGCAGCTGGGGGTCACAGAGACCCAACCCTCCAAAGTCCTCTCGAGCTGCGAGTAGGCTTGACCTTTGTGCCACTCGAGGGGCACAGAATTTTCCACTGTTTACAAGCATTTTCAGGGAAAGGAAGCCCCTTCGATGTGGCTTGTGGAGAGAGTTGGTTTAGACTGTATGGTCTTTAAAAAAACTTCTCGATCACAGAGGAGCTGCAGAGAAAGCTAGGCCCTTACACGGGGCCCTGAAAGCAAAACTACCCTCGAAAACCCCTTAAATCTCCCACAAAATACAGCACGCACAGCTTTGTATAAACAATTCTTTGTGGCAATATGCACGCACATATGCACACAATGAGGTACAGAACGTAACACTACAGGGTGCAAGGTGGAACTTCACAGAATCCTGAATTGTACGTACACTGAATGAGCAGAGCTGAATTCCAGCTAAGTGACTATATGGCATCTAACAACAAAGTTGGATTTCCAGTGTCTTTAACAAACAACCAACAAACCCCAAAACAGAGAAGATCTGGTATTGCTGGGGCCCACTTTCCCACGAGGAAAACTGGCTGAAGCCAGGAAGTAGCTGCCCCTTGGGACAGGGCACAAGTGTCCAGGTTCTGTTCTGGGGGGGCTGCCGCTCCCTCATTTACACTGCCTCCTGGCCCCTGTGGGCGTTGGAGTTGGCGAGGCCTGGTGGAGAGCAGAGCGTCTCTCAACGTGAAGGTAAAAGCTCCAGAGGCCGTCACCTCCCCAGCATCCTACCAAACGCAACGCAGCTCTTGGGAAAGGTCAGCAAAATTCTGCAAAAGCAACTGTATTGGCCAAGTAGCCAATTACATTTCCTATAACCCCCAAGGCCTTTGCCTTGACCAGGAAGCTCCACGGGGACACAGTGAGTGGCCTGGAAAGTTGCTATAAATAAGCGAAGGGTGGTGACCCTGTCTGGGCACACTTTCCACCCTGCGTCCACCCCAGCCGTCCTGGGCAGAGCGCACCTCTGAGAGAGAGAACGAGGGCTGTGGACGGTGTGCTGCCTGCTACACCCTGGCCTGTCAACTCAGCCCGATTCAACGTTACTTTACCTTAACCCTGCCTGGCCTCGTGCTGGGCAGGGCTGTGTCCTCCTTTGTATGGTGCACACAAGACACATGACACTCTGAAGGTGGTTTAAAAGGATCCCAGACCCCCTGAGTCCCTTCCACGGACCCTGGGCCTAGAAGCCTGTTCTAGAGACACAACCATGAGCACCCAGCCTGGTCGCTGTGGCTCCTTTCCTGCAGAACAAGGCACAGGCGAGCGACAGCTGGGAGCAAGTGCGTCTGCAGAAAGGTGCATGTGGGAAGGCAGTGCTCCTTGTCCCCGGCCACCGAAGGGCCTGGGGACATGGACATCAGGGAGGGGTGCTGAGGACACCGTCTCAAGCTGAGCCCTGGCTCCCTTGGGATGGTGCAAACTCCTGCCCGTTCTGCTCCCTGCGGCCCAGCTCCCCTCCTGATATCGAGGGCCCTGATAGGACCCTGCACTCCGGGCCTAGCAGGAGGGCACTGCTCCTTTCTCCATCTGCATAGGACACCTCTGACTTCAGTCCCCTTCTCCTGCCTGCGTGCCTCCACCCTGGCCAGGTCACCACCGTCTGCTGCCTCATGACTCAGTGGTCTCCTACCTGCCCTCCTGCGATGCCCTCTCCACATGGCAGCTGGAGAGACTGCTGTGAAGCAGAAATCAGATCCTTCCCCACTGTGCTCCAAGCCCTCTGATGGCATCTCACTGCCTTGATGCTCAATTCCACAGTCCTCAGAAGGTCTCTAGGACCCACACACCTCCCACCCCACCCCCTGCCCCTGCCATACTGGCCTTTTGCTACTTCTCAAACATACTAAGCTCATTCCTGCCTTACAGTCCCTGCCTCAGACCCTTTGCACATGCTGTTCCCTCCACCTAGACTACTTTCCCCACATCTTAGTGTAGCTGAATCCTTGTCAATGAGGTGTCAGCTCCACTGTCACCTCTTCAGAGAGGCCTCCCCGACCAGACAATCTAAAGCCTCCTGTCCCTGTCATGGTTCCTGCTTTATTTCCATACAGGCACCTCCATCCATGACCCGGTCTGTGTATTTACTCAGAGGTCCGCTTTGCCAGTCCCCCCCAGGCCTAGCACGGTACCCGGCACAAACCAGACCCTCGATAAAGAGCTGTGGACTGAGTGAATGTACTAGTGGCCACGCAGCGCAAGGAAGCTTCTCCATCGTTCCTGGGCCCGGGGCCCCTGGAGAACTGGAGGAAGCGATGGGCCCAGGAAATGTGGACTCACCTGCATTCCCGCTCAATTCCAGAGGGCTGACGGACCCCCGCCCCACCGCCCGCCAAGGCCCCGCTGGACCTCGGCTCAGAACTCTCGCTTTACCTGGAGCTGCTTGAGAGCCTTCTGGGCCTGCTCCGGCTTCCTGTATTCCACGAACCCGAACCCCATGGAGAGCAGTGCACCTGAGGGAGAGAGGCGGACATCACGGCAGTGTGGGGGGCGGGAGGGAAGGAGCGAGCCCAGGACCCAGGCCAGGACCCCGCTGGCCCCCGACGCCCGCTTCCGTGCTCATCTCTTCACACCCTCTTCATTCCCAGTAAGGCGTCAGCTCCTGCCTCCCCATTTATCACGAGCCTTCCTGAGGAACCAGCCACCGAGGCTATATAGCCGCCGTCTGAGGCCCAGCTGACTATTAATTAACAGATGACTGACACGATAATTAACTTCATAACAGAACTCCGCCTTTGGGAGGGAGAGGGAACGAACAGGGATGACCATCACTGTGACAAGCGGCAAATCCTCCGCCTGGGCGGTCCCCGTAGAATGAAGGTGTGTGCGAGAGTCAGACGCACGTGAGGCTCTCTCACAGGCGTTTCTGACCGTCCGGTTACATCGTTTCCAGGGTTTCAGATACAAAGCTGGGCAGGGGGGGCGACCACATTATTGGAACCTATCTGGCTCCCTCCTTCCAGGTGACGAGCAGCAAGAGTTCAGAGAGCACTGATCTCTCAGAAATTTGTCACCAGTTTTTGCTTCCCGACTTCAGATATGTACGTAGTAAGATATGTACGTATGTATGCATAACTGGGGGGAGGGGTTTTTATAGGGCTCAAAAAGATCAGAGCCCTGTGACACAGAACGTGAGGCGTGCCTCCTCCACCTGGCATTTCATAAGGGTGCATTAATTTTACTCTCTAGTTTCTTCACAGATGAACTCAAAGAGAATTGGCTCAAGTCTGATGGATCCAAATGAGTTTCAAGATTCGCCACCTAAGACTCCCTCAGCAGTCCCCATCTTGGCATCTTCTGTCCTGTTTGTGAGACCTGTGCCCCCACAACGGGGACCTGCTTGCTTGCACTTTCATTCGCAACCACATGTTATAAAAGGAGGGCCTGGTGCAGTAGGATATTCCAGGAACTGCCCACGCTTCTTCTGTGGCTCAGACAGAACCGTCAGCGGACAGGCAGTGCCACCCCGTGGTGACTTGAAATATCTGTTCTTCAGTGGAGATGTGAAAGCTCTCCTTGGGAGACTCAAGGTTGTGGGTGATGGGCTGGTGGTGTCTGTGTGTGCCGGATATTCAAAATGTGCATTAAGATAGTGTGAAAGGCAACTACAGACAGTCAAGTTCATTGCCCAGTCACAGACGCTGTGCAGATCCACTCTCTGCCCTTCTCCTGCCCTGGGAGGCTGCCTGGGCCTCCCGACCTGGTTTCCTGTTGAGTTTGGCCAATTTTGAGGCTGACTGATCTGAGAGTGGCAGGTGGAAAAGAGAGCTGGGGCACTGTTCCTTCCACACACCCCACCAGCTCCCTGCCATGGCGTGGTTCTGGCAGTGCTGGTGTCCAACCCACACTCTCAGCTCCCATGGTGGCCCTTTGTCTGCGGTTCTGGTCACACCACTCCCTTCCCCACGGCGGAAGGGCGTTCTCCTGCATGACCTCTGTCTGGGCACCTGTGGGTCCCCACAGCCCAGTGCCCACCTTGGCACTTGGCCCCGTCATCACAAACGTCTCTTAAACAGCCCCCGCTGAGTGTGTTCCTGTTTCCCGCTACGGCCCTCACGGATACAGACACTTCCTAGACTCTCCTGAAACTGTGTAGGACGAGCCCAGAGCAGGGCTCTCACACAGGCTCTTGGAAAAGAGAGCACGTTTCAAGAGCTGCTCACGACACTGAGAGAGAGAGAACTGTTTCTAAGGATGCTGCGGAGTGCCCGAGGGGTGCAAGGCAGCTCCATGGGGCATCTGATTGCAGAGACGGGCACGGAGACCCTACGACCTGCAGGCACAGCCTGGGATGGGGGTGGTGACACCTCTGCCAGGCTGACTCACCCCCTGGACTTCGGGGGTCACCTCCCTTCCTGAAGCCCCAGCAATGAGCTTTACATATTAACTTGGTACCTAGCTGCCTTTCCTTGTTCCCTAACTAGAGCTGCAGTTCCTGCAGAACAGCGATGTTACGGCTTGAACTGTGTCCCCTCAAATTGATATGCTCAAGTCCTAACCCCAGGACCTCAGAATGTGACCTTATTTGGAGATGGGGTCTTTACAGAGGTAATCAAGTTGAAATGAGGTCATCAGAATGGGCCCTAATCCAATTATCACTGGTCCTTACAAAAGGGGAGGAATCTGAACGCAGGGCAGGCACCCACAAGGAGAACGCCTGTGAACGTGAAGACGGTCACCTACAAGCCAGGGAGCAAGGCCTGGAACAGATCCTGCCCTCACAGTTCTCAAAGGAACCAACCCACCAAAACCTCGATCGTGGACTTCTGGGATCATTAATTTCCATTGCTGAAGCCACCTAGTTTCTGGGGACTTGTCACGGCAGCCCTAGCAAATGGATACAAGGAACTCCCTAATTTCTATGCCACGTGTCTGGTTAAAAACCTCCAAGGCTCCCAGGGCCCCTGGGAAAAAGCCCAAGCTCCTCTGCGGCACAGAAGCCCGTCTGTGATCTGGAAGGGCCTGCCTTTCTAGCGTATCTCCTGGCTCTTCAACATACTCCCGCCAGCGCTCAGCTGCAATCCCCCCGCCTGCTCCTCTGCGTCCCCCATTCCCGCCGGCTGCCTGCTCTGCCTCCCCACCCTCCAAGCCTCGGTCTGATGTGGGGACCCCTGTGCTGGGTCCTGTCCCACTAGGGCCCCCTGGGCCACATCCTTCACCGCACTGTGCTGTGCCCACCAGCTCATCTGTCTCAGGACACAGCCATGGGCTGACTCAGGTGACATCCCTACAAATCCTGCCAAACTGAAGGGCTGGGGACTGCTCGGCTGAGAAAAAGCAAGGACTATGGCCTGTCCATCATCGGCAGGAAGCCGGGGCTGGAGAAGAGGCAGAGCAGAGGTCGAGGAGTTCATGACAACACCTGAGGCCAAATGGAGAGACGACGGTGGTGTCCACGTGGCCCAGGCACCCACAGGCCAGGGAAGTGCGTGGTTAACTTTCAAGATGTTCTACATCTCGCTATTTCTCTTGGAAGGGAAGTGGGAAGCCCAAGACCTGTCATTTCCTGCTATTCTCTAGGAAACTTCCAAAGCACAGAGGCGCCAGGAGGAGGGAGAGGCCCCCGCTCCTGAACAGCATCAGTGCTGCCGGTCTGCCAAGCGCACTGCCCCGAAACATCTCTGACGTCTCTGGGGCAAAGGGCCTGGACTCAGAGGAGCCTGCCGTGCATGGCAGCTTCTACCGAAAGGCAGGACCTCCAGGGACACTGGAACGACCATCCCAGACAGGCCAAATGAGACTTTGAGGGGGACAATGCTCCAGAACAAGAGACAACCCTCAAAATGAGCAAGTGAGAGTGCCCTCACCCCACCCGAAGCTACACTGCGTCTTTCCGAAGTTTCACACAATACCTGCTTTGTTCTTCTTCCTGGAAATCGAGCAGCTCTTCACCGTGCCCACTTTGGAAAACACCTGGAAAAGAACATCAACACGTACTGTCAGCATTTCTAGGCTAATCCGGAGGCCCACGCAGGCCCGCAACCATGGGCAGCAGAGGGACAAGAAGGAAAGCAGAGCTCATACCTGGACTGTGCTGAGTGGGGCCGGCCCTGTCCCGAGCCCTGTGCTGCCTGAACTCATTTGGTCCTTGCAGGGACCCTGGGAGGTAGGTAGTGCTACTGCCCCATTTTACAGATGACAAAACTGAGGCTCAGAGGGGTTGGAGACGGCACCCAGGGTCACAGAGCTGGGAGGCGCTGGGCTGCATTTTGGACCAGGGCATCTGTGCCCCATGGCTGGACTCTAAACCACTAAGCAGGCAGGTGCCCTGGGCAGACACTAGGTTCCCCGAATTTGCCAGAATACCATCTCAGGGTCCGAAAAACACGCCCAGGTGCTGGATCCCGGCCTACTTGAAGCAACGTGCATGGTCCCCTGGAGCTCCCCACAAGCGCTGCGGGGCTGCTCTGGCTCCAGGATCCAGGAAGGCCCTGGGCAGCGAACAGTTCAGAGTCACTGAGGGTCACGCAGTGGGGGAGCCGGGCCTACGTTTGGAAGCCTGGAGTCTACTGACCCCAGCCTTGACCCATTTAACCGCCCCTGCACTCAATGCCAACTAATTTTTAAAAACGTGTAAAGTCATATTTGACTCTATTTTGCCCTTTACTTTTTTTGTCTCAGAATTTGAACCCAACAGGGCAAATTCACATCCTTCTGGTTCACTGCTGTATCTTCAACACCACACACAGGCCCAGGGAAAGGCAGGCGCCAGTAAGTGCTGACCGATTGAGCGAAGGGAAAGCAGAGGGGAGGGGCAGACCCCGCTCAGCCCGAGCACTGCAGGCAGAGACAATGACGACTTCTCATTCCATGTGTCAAATGCTTCTCTGAGCATCTCATGCATCCTAATCAGACCTTCAAAACTACTTCACGAGACGATTCTACCAACATTCCCCTTTTACAGAGGGGGAAACTGAGGCACAGAGAGGATAAAGGACTTGCCCAGAGTGGCACCATTAGTAAGGAGTGAAGCCGGGATCCAAGTCCAGGCAGTCTGACCCCTCAGCATGGCTCCACATCAGACAGGGCACTGAGACAGGAGCCCTGTGAGCTGGGCACGGCTCCCCACAGTGCCTCTAGTGGGCTGTGAGACCTCAGTGAACTGACCTCTCTGAACCTCAGTCTCCACACCTGTAATAGGAAGAAACCCGGACTAGATCATCTTGGCTGCACCTCCTAGCCCCAGAATTCTTTACTTCTGAGGATGCCTTAGGCTGAAGCTTGGGCACATTTTCCAGGAAAAAATGGTTCCTGATGATGGCATTCCCATGCCAGACCCGGGAGAGCTGGCACTCCGGAAATAAAAAACAAACGAACTACAAGCTGGTTTGACCTCCTCAAAGCCATCTACCCTTTGGATGATACCAGTGTGTGCCTGTTTATTTCAAAAGCAAACCCAAACCAAACCAGAACCGACTCAGAAAGTCGCCAAGAAGGGTGCGTCTCCCACTGGTCAGCAGGGTGAGCCTTCGCCCTTAAGATGCTGCCGCGTAGGCAGGTGTCTCCACTGCTCTGGGGGCTTGTGTAAGTGGTAAGCGGACAGTCACAGCACGGGGACTCAGCCGGAGGGTCTCGGAGTGAGACCGTCATCTCCCCACCCCAACCCTTCCTGCATACGCAGGCTGGCTTCCCCACTCCCCCCCACCTTCCTGCTCTGGGACTCCCGGCACACTGCCTCCCCTCTGGAGACCAACTATGGAATTTCAGAACTCCAAAGAACTTTTAGAAACCAATCAGTTCAATCCCTATGGCCGTCTTCCTTTCCAGAACCAGCTCATGGCCGTCAGCCTGACCATCACTGATTCATTCATTAAAAAAAAGCATCGAGTGTTTACTCTGTGCCAAGCCCAGTTTTCAGAAATGAAGAGTCTCCCCAAAGGCAGCTCTCAGGCCAGTGCGGGAGCCTGCAGACCCAATCCTTAGGCACCAAGACCCCATTTCCTGATCTCTGGCCCACTTCCTTCCAGAAGCCCCGCAACCCCGCAGTGCAGCACTCATTTGGAATTTTCCACTCACTTGGAGTTCCCCATCTGCTCACCCTCTGCCGCCTTCCCATGAACGCAAAACCCTCACCCCACCAGGGACTTCCTCCAGACTCACCCACTCAGTGTCTCCTGGTGGTCACCCCAGGCCAGGAGGTCGTGCTGACACTTGCTTTTGGGTAATTTTATGTCACAGAAACACCGTGAATATACAATGCTAACACTGAGCACAGCTTCTCATTCCATACGCCTCCCTGGACGCCCTGACGTGTCCCCTCACGCGGATGTGGGCGCCCCTCCCACCCCCAGGCTCAAGTCTCCGGGTGAGACGCCTACCGGACAGCCCAGCAGAGACGTCAGGCGAGCAGTCGTTGGTTGTTAAACTACACATTGACACAAGTCGCGTTTACAGGCAGAATAACACGGTGACTCCATCAGCAGACCGGGTTCCCAGCCCACGCCCCCTTCTTCCCCTTCCGGGACATCACTCACCCCCTTCAGCGTCTCCTCGGTGGTGTCGAAGTTGAGATTTTTAATGAACAGAGTACACCCAGGGAGGCTCTCTTCTTCCTCCTCCTCCTCCTCCTCCTCCTCTTCCATCTTTGCTGAAGAGTCGTCTGCTCCTCCCTCTGTCGGCTTCTCACCTTCCGGGGTCTTGCCATCTGGCACTGGACACCCCCCAAAAACAAATCCATTAAATGCTGTCGAATCTGCCCAGGCCCCAGGGCCTAAAGCGCGGAACCTGCTAGGTGAGGGGGTTCTGCCTGTGTAGTCAGCGGCAGGAAGGGACACATTCCTAGCTTGTGCTGGGTTTCAGGTTTTAGCAACTCTGGAGAGAGCTGGAGAGAGTTGGAGGACAAGGGGGGCGAGGGGAGCGGAGAGAGACACAGACACTGCCCCGCCTCCTGCCTCTGCTTTGAAGGGAAAGGGATACGAAACACCGATCAAAAACCTTGGATTGGACTACCCCACACCAACCTGAACCTCAAAATAAATCAGTGTATCAGCTGTTTTATTGAACCACAAACATAATATTTTCCCTCAAAAAAACAGCACTTACTAAACTTTCAAACTAAAATGCAACTTAAAACTTCAAAAATTACAGAATGGAAGAAAAACTCAGAACATTCTAAATACCTCTTGAACCTAAGCAGTGTTACATTCAATCGAAGTTGCCAATATACATTACTTCAGGGAACATATATGCAGAAGAGTGTTGTTTTATCTATACGTGACACATTAAATTCAGTTATGCATAATACTGAAAAAATTTTAAAAACCCACTGTATTTACAAACAAGAGATTAGGAAAGCTACAGTGCCATCAAAGGCTGGGATAATACGTAGTTGATAAAAATAATGCTTCCAAAGAATGTTTAACAACATGGAATGACGCTTACAACATAAAAATTAAGAGAAAAGTTAGGATATAAAACAATATATAAAGTAACCCAATCGCAGTCTAGACACACAGTTTCTGAGGAACACACGCAAGATGAGAAAAGTGGAAGGCAATGCATAAGGCGCTCTGGTTATTTCTGGAAAAATGGGATGACAAAGGCTTGTTGTCTCGTCCTGCCGCTCCACCCTCTATTCCCGTCCCACTCTGAGAGAACAGCATTTCAGAAGGAGGGAAGAGCAATGTACTGATGTGAGCTGGCAGTGTGCACACGCGCGTATGTGTGTGTCATGAGGAGACGAGGGAGCCGGTAAGCCTTAGTGACGAATGCAGATGTCACCCAAGGGTGACAGGAGCCTCCCAAGGTTGGTCACGGTGGCATGACCTCTTGAGAAATCCTGCTGCCAGGTTTGTGTTCGATTTGGTTCAACCTCCCCCTTTTTCCCCCCAGTCACCAGATGGGGGCCTGGGGTCAAACTCCCAGCTCCCCCTCCAGAGGCGAGCTTCTGAAGTCAACCCTACCCCAGCACTCTCCAAAGCCGTCATCAGACTGTGCCCTCACGGCTGCGAGCGGGGGCCCGCCCTCCCGGAAGATCCAAGCCCCGACACCTGGAGGGCACGGGCCCAGCAAGGTGGTTCTGCGCGCCGGCCGGGCGCTGACGAAGACAAGCCTTTCCTCCCCCGCACACACCTGCACACACCTGCTGTCCCCTGCACTCAAGTAGGTCAAACTGCTGCATGACCCAAGGAGGCTCTGTGGGGTTCAAATCCATCCCCCACACTCTCAGGCCAAGCACCAAAGCCCTCTGTCTCCTCTGCCCTTTCTCACACAAGCCTAGCACTTGCAAGTCCTAATTAAGCTTCAACCACTTGTGGTTGTGTCAGGAAACAACCCTTTTAAGCTCTAATGGAACCGGCCACAGCGATAATGTTGTCTGTTTAACGTCATTGAACAGGCAGCCTTTGCCCATCGGAGGTGACCCCAGAACCCAGACTCTCATTCCAGGACAAAAAGAAGAAATCTACATAAAGGCGCCTCCCCAGGAAATTAACACAATTTACCCAACAAGGGACTCCATGGGGCGGCCACTTGTACTCAAAACTCAACTTTCAAAGCAAAGCAGGAGGAACAAGCGTTACTAACGATGGGGAAGCAAAGCCAGGCAAAGGAGCTAAGACTTGAGGTTCTGACGGAGAACTTCAGTGGAAAGGAAAACCGCGCTGCAGCTGGGAATGACGTTCCCCCGCAGTGGCTCTCCTCGCATCTGACATCTGGGAGATGAAAGGAGAAAGGAAGGACACTGATGAGACCCCACCACGAGGCAGGCACTCGGCTAGACGCTGTCAGTGTACTGTCTCACTAATGACCACGGGAGTCACATCACAAGTGGGGGTTCCAAAGAACCTTCTGGGGGCTGCTGCATCCAAACCCTAACACGTCTCAGGCAACTTCAGGTTGGTGAGAGAGGTTCCCGGGAGACTAAAAAAATTTTTTATCAAGAAAACAACGGTGGGGATCATGGTGACCAGTAGGGCTTACCGGCCAGTTCAACAGGGAGTCCCTTTGTGGCACTGGCCAACTGCTGCCATGTGGGAAGGTCAACCCAGAGTGGTCAAATGCTCAGACCCTTTGTATAAAGCTGAAAATCCAGTTTTTACTGGAAAACCCCCAGTGTTTAAATCTTGGCAACTAACTCAATGGCATGTGGCCTCTGTACCAGACAGTGTCAACAGATAAACCAGCGCATCGGGGCTTCATGCTCTGTTCCCCACACCCAGCCTGCACACAGACCGCCGGCCAAGACTGAAGACCCTTCCCCCTGCCTCCCCCAAAGGCTGGAATCCAGCCAGTTCCCAGCGTAGCATTCCGGGGGTTCAAAACCCCACAAGGACAACAGCTCAGGGGAGCCCAGGGGCTGAGCATGGCCAGAGTGCACCCCACTCCGCTTCCCTGCCCATGAGCAGTGGCCGGCCCGCTTCAAGGGGCTTGTTTAAGCGTCACAGGCACCTGCCCAGGAGAGCGTGGTGCTTGGGTTTAGCGACAGAGCTGGGCTGAGCTGACAGTCAGGGCTGGCAGCCCGGGAACAGATAGATCCCTTCCCTGGTAGGTAAGCTGCCCTCACCCCAGCCCAGTTAGAGCCAGGGGGACTGTGAGGACGGCCAGGACCTATCACCTGCCCGGGTGGACGGCTGGCCTGGCTCACCTGGCTGCTCCCCCTTCTCATCAGTCAACCTACATCCCTGACCCCCGAAAGCCGGGAGGAACATCAATAAAAGATGTGACCAAATGCAGCCTGGCCTTCTTCCTCCAACAGCACAGAGATGTCCACTGTTTCCTTAAACCTTTGCTCCCACAGCAACGCCCTCCGCGCACTTTTCTAACTCTTCCCGGGATGCTGGGAGAACTAACGAGACTGACTAACAAGGGCATCATGGTCTTGAAATCTGCTGGAAAAAATGAGGAGGGGGCCCAGAGACTGAGTGAGGAGGCAGCACAGAGCTGGGGAGCACTGGCCTTAGAGAGGAGGGGAATGCGGGTCGGAGTGGTGGCCACACCACTCCTGGCTGTGCTGGGCAACCGGCTCACCATGTGCCTCAGCATCTCAGCTAGAACACACACCTGGACTCTGTGGGTCGTCTGGAAATGGGAGCGTCCCCATGTGCTGGGCCCTGGTCCACGGCTCCACTGCCTCTCGTCTGCACGAGTAAGCAGCCTCCTCACTCAGCCGGGTCCCTGGCCTGCCAGCTCCCCCGACCCTGTCCCTTATCCCTCTTTCCAGCTACACTGGCCTCTGTTCTGCTCGCCCAGCCTGCCACCCCTCCCCACTGCAGGGCGTGTGTGCTCGCTGTCCTCTGCCCCTTCCCCTCGTCTCCCACCTTCCCAGGCCCGGCCGCTTCTCACCAGGTCTCAGCTCGAATGTCCTCCCCTCAGAGCCCTTCCTGTCCACTCTAGCTCCACGGGTCCCCAGCCCAGGTCCAGCCACTGTCCATCACATTCCCCTGGGTGCCTCTCCTCAAGGCCTTTCCCGTTCTGAAATCACCATACTGGTTCACTTCTCTGTCTGTGTGCTCAAGTAGAAGGGGAGCTCCTTGAGGACGGGACCACACCCGCCTCAGGCACCATGGCATCCCCAGCTCTGGGCCCAGGGTGCACGCTCCAAAAATATATGTGGGTGATGCTACGTTCAGCCCTCGGCATGCGCCTGGAACACAGGCAGTGCTCAGCAGCAGGCACTTGGTGGGACTGAGAGGAGCTGTGGGTCACAGCTAAGAGCACGGACCTGGGAGCTGGAGGCTTTGGGTCACATCCCAGCTCACTCCAGAGGTGCAACCTTGCATAAGTCACTCAACCTCTCTGTGCTTCCTTCTTTCCATCTAGAAAAGGGGACAATGGGAACAGAGCTCACTTGCAGGACGATCATGAGAATTAATACGCAGAAGTCTGTCAGAACAGTGCTGGGCCTGTAGTCACCCATAAGTTTCATCAGTCTTCACACCACCCCTGCTGTCACACTGGCCAGCCAGGCCTCGACGAGAAATCCAGGGGAAAACATTGTCCATCCCTAACCCCGCAGGCCCGAAGCCATGAGAGTAAGACAGCGGCTGCAGGGAGCCCACAGCCCTCCTCCCGCCCCGCTGCAGGGTGGCTTGCCTGCTCTGAGCAGTGCAGCCAGCGTCACACCTGAGTCCAGGAGATGGCGTCCCTGCCAGCCACATGCCCAGGAGGAGCTCCTGTTCCCCAAGTGGCAAGGTCAGGCCCTGCTGGGGCCATGCCCGCGTCCAGAGAGGCATGGAGATGGCCAAGAGCCACAGTGACGAAGCCAAAGGTCATTTTTAAAAGCACTTCTGTCCCTGGTCCAAGTGGGGAGACAAAGAAAGGCTAGAAAGAAAAAACACAGTATTGTGAAACTCAAACAGATGTTTGCCAACAAAATCACCAGGAAGCAGAAAAGAGGGAAGAAGTAAGAAAGGAGCAGGGCGGGGGAGGCAGGATTTAAAGCAAGGTGGGCTGGCGGGCTGGGAGAGGCGGGGAGAATGTGCTTCCATCTGTAGTGAGCACAATAAAATCCGGTCACGCGGCGTCACATGGGGCTTTATTATAATCAGGCCGCCGAATTTGTGGAGGCTCCCTCCCTGCCCGCTCTCGGTGCGCTGGCAGTACAGGCTGTTATCAGCGGCGAGCAGCTTTCCAGCACCTCCCCCCGCTCGGAGCCCTTCATCCGGAGGTGAGGGTCTTAGTTGTGGGGAGATAAAACACACTGCCCCCTCCCTCGAGGCCGGCACAGGGAACGGAGGGCTGGGTGGAGAGCAAGGGGTGGGAAAGCTCCGTCCACTCCCCTCCTGCCCGCCTGCCTCGGAGCCTCTGAATCCAGGGCTGGGGGGCTGGCTGAGGCCCCGTGCAATGGGGATGGGGCCTGCGGAAGCTTCAGGAACAATGTGGAGAGGGCGGGCGTGGGGGGAGGAGTGGGTGGAAAGGGACAGCACGGGGACGGGGAGGGGACTGTCTATGTGATACGTGTAAGGAAAGGAACAGAAAGGGCAAAAAGAGCTGGCAGAGCAGCTCTGGGGTTCCACCCAGCGACCTGGGACTCAGCAGGGCTTGAAATCAGCACAGACTCACACAACTTCCTGGGCCAAAGTCAGCTGGCTCCTCTGTGAGTCCTGGTCAGACCCTGGAAACCAGCCCTCTAAGAAGCAGGGCTTGGGGGACAGTCTGTCTGGGATGCTCCCAACACTGCAGCCAGGCTCGGGGAGCACGGGCCCCGGGGGCGGGCGGGGCTCCAACTTCAGACCCGGGTACACTATCTCTGCAATGCCTCCCTCGCTCTCTAGAACATTTCTGTACCAGGGCCCACGTCTACTGCTAGTGTGACATCTCAACTGTCCCCCACCAGCCCGGAGCTCCTGGGGACGAAGGTCCGTGTTGCGCCCAGTGTGGTCATGCCAGCGCAGCGGCTGGTGTTCAGGGCTGTACTAAAGGCCGTGCGCTCCAGCTTAGGCTGCTACATCGACAACGGGGTCAGAGCGGTGGGGACAGGTGGGCAGCACCTCAGTACTCTCACAAAAGCCCCAAGAGCTCAGTGCGGTTATCACGCCCATTTTACAGATGCAGACACTGAGCCCAGAGGAGACGGCGGCTTGCCCAGTCGCAGAGCTAGCAGAGGACAAGGAAGATGGTAATCCTCCAGGAGCCGTAAGCCCCACAGTCTGAGGAACCCGAAGTGCTTCGCGCAGGGCCCGGCTCGGAGCAAATGCCGCTTTTGCCCTGGGCTTCACCCAGCACCCACTCGCTGCTCTCCCACCAGGTGCAGGCCCTTCACGGGTGCTGGGGTGCAGCAGTGAGCACGCAGCCAAGGTACCTGCCTCGTGGAAGGGACACTCCAGTGGGGGAGTCAGACAGACAGGCGCCAAGGAAAAACCCACCCATGTTGCAGTGCTGGGAAGTGATAAGTGTATGAAACGAAGTGAAGGGCAAGTTGAGGGGTGGTATAAACAGGTACCCACAGTGGGAGCCGTGACTGTTACTGCGACTGTGGCGTCACCATCGCCACTCCTGCTCTGACACTGGCTCACTTCCAACATGGCCAAGCTCCTACTGTGTGCAGACGCCTGAGCACAAAGACAAGTGTGGCCCGCCCCAACCTCCGCAGGTACAGAGAGGACAGGAACCTTCCTCCTGATGGAAGCAGAACTCCATCTGGGGACAAGCTAACTCACAGGCAGGGGCTAGTGAGGGGCTCTGCGAGGGTTATACCAATAATCAGTAACCCCAACGACCAGGACACCTTCAGAGCCTCAAAGATTGAAGCATCCTCCCTCCTGACTAGAACAAGGCTTCGAGACCAGTGGTCCCCAAGCACCTTGCACGCCAGGGCCGGGCCTCAAGGTCTGCTAACCATGAGGGCACAAGAAACGCAGACGCCTCGGGAGGCTCGCAGACAACAGGTCTAGCTGATTAAAGGACTGCTCTTTAATCTGAGAATTTTGCTCCCCTCATATTTCTTTTTCCTGTAAAACACACCCATTCTTTTACGAGGACAATGGAGATGGTATATGGGAGACTTATTTTTTTAATCCTTATTTTAATAAACTGGTAACCCAACGGTACGGTAGGGGCGAGGGGTGTTACCGTTGTGCAAAATCTTAATGTCTGGGTAAAGGACTACCAGCGTCCTTTTCAAAACTTCTCTAAAGGTCTTTGATTCTAAGATGCGGTCATGGTCCCCAGAAGGAGTGGTTCTCAACTAGGGGCTGCACCGCCCCCTAGAGGGCATCTGGGAATTTATCACGCTCGCTGGGGACACTCCTGACCTTCAGCAGACAAGGTCCAGGGATGCAGAATGTCTCACAATTTGCAGAACAGTCCCGAGAACGAAGAACTGTGCCAATGGCCAAGGGTCAACGGCGCCCCCTCTGCTCTGACTGCGAAGCATTAACTCACAGGTGGGGCCCACTGTCCCTTCCCTGTCCTGCCTTTGCAGCTGCTGGACACCAGAGGGCACTGCGCCATCCACGGACCCTGGAGAATAAACACTCCTCCACCAGCCACCGCCAGTCACCAGGCATGCTGTTATTTTCACATGCTCTGTTCTGAATTGCTGTTGACAGACGCTAGTTTTTTAAAATCCTTTAACTGACAAGCTAAAAAGCTGACTACCTTATATTCTACCCATAATGTTTATGCTCTTTTTTTAAGGACATTTTATATGCCTATAAAATCCAAGAGTCTGAGATGCCCTGGTCTCCAGGATGAATAAGGACTTTAAGCCAAACACCTGATAAACAATTCGCTGCTGTCCCTTGCTCTCCTTCCTTCCTTCGTCCCCTGTCTCAGGACACCCTCATCTTAGACTCAGCTCTTACCTGTTTCTGGCACCGCCCTGGCCTTTTCTGCAGGATCCACTGGTGCATCTTGGGGTTCCTTCTTCTGTGGGGCTGAGCTGGAGAAGACGCCCACTGGAGCCCACTCCAGATAGAGGGGGATGTGGTGAAACTGTGGAGACAGGGGCAGGGTAGGGACTCAGTCCCTGATGTCGATGAAGAGCCCGAGGCTCAGAGAGGTTGGCTGACTCACCCCAGGGAAGGGAGGCAGGAGGCGGAGCACAGCCCAGAACTCTGCCTGCTCCCTGATCCCTAAGAACACACGGGGGCCCCGCTGCAGCTCGGGGCTCAGGGGAGAGGCCTGAGCATGTGCTGTCATTGGACACATTTGTGTCCCGTGTTTTCTCTCATCAGAGTATGAATGGGGAGCAGGAGGGACGGGGAGCAGAATCACTGACAACGGGCAGCTCTCCCGGAGGAAGAACGCGCTCCCTCTCTCGCCACATACACACACTCACAGGCAGGGCACGCTCAAATGTGTGCAAAAAAAAAAACGTAAGTTTTTTTAAAAAAGATAAACAAGATACTGATAAATAGTCTGCAGAGCAGCGTTAAAGTGCCTGATAAACAAAAGCTATTTGTAGCAGGTTGAATGGCGGCCCCCCCTCAAAAGATGTGTCCACGGCCTGACCCCCAGAACCTGCGAATGTGACCTTATTAAAAGAAAGGTCTTCGCAAATGTCATTAACTGAAAGATCTTAAGGTGAGATCATCCTGGATTATCTGGGTGGGCCCTAAATCCAGCAACGAGTGTCCTCGTAAGAGAAAGGCAGAGGGAGAGTGGAGATGGAGAAAAGGAGACGGCCACATGAGACAGAGGCAGAGACTGGCACAATGCAGCCACAAGCCAAGGATACCTGGCACGAACGGAAGCTGGAAGAGGAAAGGAAGGACCCACCCCTAGAGCCTTCACAGGGAGCGCGGCCCTGGTGACCACCTTGATCTCAAACTTCTGACCTCCAGACCATGAGACGCTAAGTTTCTGCTGATTTAAGCCAGCAAGCTTGGGATAACTTGTTATGGCGGCCATGAGAAACTAATACACTAATATTAAAATATATGTGTGCGTACATATATATAGAAACAGGAGACGGCTCACCCACAGAATGACTTTCAAGTTATCACAGGTACAGGATAGCAAAAGGACCACGAATGACAGTTGAAATTCCCGTGGGAACAGCAAGCCAAGGAAAGCCAGAGCCGGGCAAGGAACGGAGGTGGGCTTTCTGGAGGGTGGTCAGGGCTCCCCCCGCATCCTCCCCTTCTCAAGAGTCTCAGGGGTGGGATGATATTCACAAGCCTGAGAGAGACAGGTGGATTTTGGCAGAGCTCCCGCGTGCCAGGTCTGTGCTAAGACTGTCCACACCTCAGCCCCCGTCAACCTCCCCCTGAGGCTGGTCCTGGGCAGCCCACCTTGGAATAGGCCAGGTGTCTGAAGGCCTTGCGGGCCTCCAGGGGCTCCAGGAACTCCACAATGGCAGTGACGCCCCCCTCAGGCAGGAGCACGCGGCCCAGGCTGCCAAAACGGCCGAAGGTCTCCTGCAGCTCAGCCGCCAGGGTGCCCGCCGGTAGGTTCTTCACAAGAATCACGGTCTTGCTCCGCTCCGCTGCAGCCTGCAGGGAGGAAACGGATGCACATGGGTCCACAGGAGGGAGGGTCCCTGGTCCCTGGCCCCTGACATGAGCACTGCTGCGTGGTGGATTCCAGACCAGGTGCCCCTTGGGAACAGGTACCAGGCACTTAGGAAGCGGGCTCGGGAGACCCCACCCCCTTGGGCACGCTGCCCCGTGGATGAGAGGCGGCTCCAAGGAGTGGATAAGGGTGAGGGCTCCAGAGCTGGACCCCTGGGCCAAAGCCCGACCCTGCCACTTCTGAGCTGTGGCAGATTCTGCAGTGCCCAACCACAGCCCTCGCTGGACCTTCCAGAGCATTCCAGCCTAGTCTGCCCATGTCCAGCATCCACATCTCCGTGCCGAGAGCCCTTCCCTGGAACCGCAGGCCGCCTGCTGCCTCACGGGTGGCAAGAGTGAAGTGCCGAGCGTTCACACCCCCGGGAGCAGGCCCTGGCTCTCAGGAGTTGGCACGTCCCCTGTCCTTTGGGTGGGACAGTTCTGCGGTGTCAGTTCTGCAGTGTCCCCCGATAAACCTCCCCCGGCTGCTGTACCAGCAGGACCTAATCAGCACGCCCTGTACAGGGCCCCCGCCTCCCCTGGCCATTCTCGCCAGTGCTGTCGGCCCTGCCCAGCAAACCGCCTGCACTTGGATCTTTGTCTCAGGGTCGGCTTTTGGAAAAAATCCAAACTAAGATGCCAGACAGACAGATGGCCCTGAGAAATGTCCTGAGCTGCGCCTGAGCGCCCGCCCCTCACAGAAGGACGCAGAACTTATTTCATAGTCACTCCAGCAAAGGATCTAATTAGATGGGTTACCAAAAGCAATGCGTGTATAGTATAAACACTTGGGAAACAGCAGCAATTACTTTACTAAAAAACAGCATTGGAGAGGCATAAAAGAGCCCAAAACATCTCAGGGAGACCTCCCAGCATATGGAGCATCTGGGACGAGCTCAGCTCAGCCACAAATCTAACCTCAAACCCGGGGGCAAGTCTCTCCCCGTGGCCTTGCTTTCTCATCTGCAAAGTGGGCTCAGGGTGACGCCCATGCTGTCGGCCCCACGGCGCTGTCCTGAGGGCCGAGTGAGGCGAGCAGGGCGGAAGCCGTCTGCAGGCAGGGAGGGCTGCACACGAGTGGGCTTGTCACGGGCCACCCACTGCAAGTGTAATGGGTAGGGGCACAGACTCTGGGGCCTGCACTCAAATCCAGCTCCACCAGTGACGAGCTGTGTGACCCAGGACCAGTGACCTCACCTCTGTCACTGTGGTCCCTGTTGAACAACAAGAGCACAGAAGTGCTGCGTTCCCAGGGCTGTTAGGAGAGTGAAACGAGTTAACAAAACACAGAGGCTTCTAAGAGTGTTCTGCTAGCAAATGTTAGCCATTCATATATATTTTTAATTTACCCATCCACGCATCCCCCCATCTACTTACTTACCTTCCGTCCACCTGCCCATCCCCCCCTCCTACCCATCATCTTAAGGTCACGTCCGAGGCCTGGTCAAGCTGAGCAAAGAGCTGTTTGGGGGTCAGAAGCCCTGAGATATAATCCAGGCTCCTGCCACACACTCATTGTTTGACATTTAAGTCACCTCTGCCCTTTCTGGGCCTCAGTTTCCCAGTCTGTAAAATGAAGGGGAGGATGCTGGGTGGCCTCACTGGACCCTCTAAAGTGAAGCGTCCTCAAACCTAAGAATTCCTCCCTGGTGGAGAAGCACTTGGAGGTGCTGAACGCGTTCCTATCGGGTCCCAGAAAGGTCTGAAGCCCCACACAGGCCAGAGGTGCTCCCAGTAAGGCGCTGGGTGGGGGAACAGGATGTTTGGGCCCCTCTGATCTGTGTGGAGAAACTGGGGGTTGCAAAGTGATCCTCTTGCATGTGGCCCCCGACAGGCCCCTTGTCTGAGCCCATACGACATTTCTTACTTTCTTTAGAGACAATTTAAAAGTTAATGATAACCATCCTTGAGAGGCCAGGCCCTCAGACCCAGCAGCATCTCCTGATCTGAAGGTCGGCTCCCAGCTCACCACAGCTGCTGGCTGAGCAGTCAAGTGGCTCGCTGAGCCCAGAGCAAGAACCCACCTGGCTGAAGGAATCCAGGCTGACCCCATTGTCGATGAGGAAGCGGCGTACTTCTTGGACGAGCTGCGTCTCCCCCAGGGCCACGCGCACAGCCACACTGCCCTTGGTCTCCTGTGGGAGCAGGGAGAGGAAGAGGCCCCGTCGGCCATCGGGCAGGTGACAGTCAGCCCTCCCACCTCCCAACAGCCCGGGAAGGAGGCTCGGCTGGAGACGGGCCGGCGACACCCTTGTCTGTCTACTCACTGACTCAATGGCTCTGGCGTCTGCGTCTCCCACAGCAGATCAAGGACCCCAGGCCGGCCTCTCCAGCCTCAGCTTCCCTCTCCCCGTCACTCCCTCCACCAGTCATATGGGTCTCTTCGTTGTTCCTCCCACAGGCCAAGCTCATCCCCACCTTAGGAATGAGTCTGCCTGCCTACATGGCTCTTAGCCCACACTCTTTCGTCCCGTTAATTTCTGCTGAACTGTCACTTCCCTGCCCCGCCCGTCCTCACCCTCATCCCCTGTCCCCCTGCTTGGCTTAACTGTTCCCCGTGGCCATCACACCAACACGCCACCCCTTTGCTTATTTTTGTGTCTTCCTCCACTAGAAAGCACTAGAAGAGCAGGACCGTCTCTCTTTAGGGCCCTGCTGCATTCCCAGTGCTCTTCTGGTGCTGTGGGATCGGAACTGACCGCCGCCCTCCCAAAGGGCTCAGGCCTAGAGCTGCGAGGCCCCACAGGGTGGCCACAAGCCACATACAGCCACTGAGCACATGAAACACAGCGTGTCCAAATCGAGAAGTATGCAAGTGTAAACGTTCACCGGATTTTAAATATTTAGTGAGAAAAAGGAATGCAAAATATCTTGTCATTTTTTACACTGCACATATGTTGGATGATAATATCTTTGCTGCACTAAATTAAATAGAACAGATGAAATTTAACTGTGCCTGTTTCTTTTTGCTTTTTTAAAATGTGGCCACCAGGAAATTTACAATTACATACAGGGCTCACATTTATTCTCAAGGACAGCGCTGACCTGGAGTGTCGGGCAGAAGGGTGAACGACAGGGGGTTGAGAAGTTTATGGCCCAGATCCATGGCCATCCTTTGCTGACTGGCTGAAAAACCAGTTTTGCCTAAGACGGACTTAGCCGTGGCCTAACTGGAGACACATGCATTTGAAGGAAAGTATGTGATCTGAGGGGCCAGAGAGATGGACCGGGAAAAGTCAGGAGGAACAAGGTTAGATCCGGGAGAGGAGAAGGGACAGAGAGCAATGACTCCCCCTTTCTTTGTGTTAAAGATGCGGGCCGGCAGGCCGAGGAAGTGGGGGACAACCCCTGGAGGGGTGTGCGCCCTGGCTCAGAGCGAGGGCATAGGGTCAGGCTGACCCGACGTCATCCCACCTCTGCCTCTTTCCAGGAGTGTGACCCTGGGCAAGCTACTCTGTGTTCCTGAGCCTCGGTTTCCTCATCTGGACAGTGGGGATGGTAGGAGCACCCAGCTCAGGGGGCCATGGTGAGGAGTACCCCACAGCCAAGTGCTCAAGAAAGTGGGCTGAAGACATCATCCTCAACCATGCTCTCTGGCCTGCTCCACACAACCCCACGAGGAGCTGGGGCCGGAGGGTGGATGGGATGTTCCAGAGGGGAGGCCCCAGAGGATGCCCGTGACGTCAGCATCAGAGGCCCTGAGCTCACAGATGCCCCCAGCACAACGCCCCCTCCCCTGCCCTTCTCCCCTTGTGTCTGGCCCCGAGCTGGGTCTATCACACGGGCCCCTCACTCACGTGGTCAAACACTTGGTTCTTGGTGGCGCTGTACTTCTGTGCGATGGCGTCGGCCACTGCATTGGGGCCCATGAACAGTGTGTTCCAGTTGTGAGCGCTGAGAGGCAGAGGCGGAAGAGGGAGGTCAGCTCGAGGCTGGAGTGGAATGCTCTTTCAGAAGCAAAACCTCTAAGGAGGAGCTCATCGGCCTGCCCTTCTAAGCCCCCAAGCCTCCTCCTCCTCCCAGTCACCTTCTGCGGGCCATGCCCCCCAGACCTGAGGGAAAGTGACGATGACACCTACAAGGCTATCAACAGTCCCTCTCTGCCAGGGACTGAGCACTTTGACCTCACTGAAGCCTTCCAACACTGCAAAAGTAAAGCACCACTGAGATTCTCCCCACTTCGCAGATGGGGAAACTGAGGCTCAGCGAGGTTATGGATGAGAGGCTGAGCCCACCCCAAGGAGCCAAAGCACCCAGGCGGCCGGGAGAGGGCGGGGCGAAGGCAGCAGAGCTGGGTCAGGGCCCAGAGGCCAGGAGTGGGTAAGGACCTGGAGCTGCTGGCTTTGTCTTTAGACTCTTTCTTCTTCTTGTAAGACGACGATCCTGGGGTGTCGGTGTCCTCGCTGGCTTCCTTCTTGATGGTGGACGGTAGCACGTGGAGCATCCTGCCCTGGAGGGGTGCAGGGCAAGCAGGTAAAGAGAGGAAGGGGGAGGGCGCTTCTACAGCCTGCCCCAAGACGTCAGCCTCTCTGCCAGCAGGCTGGACCCAGTGCTGAAACCCTCATGGAAGACGGGGCCTTGGGCAGAACAACCCCATGGCCACGTGACACAGGCATCTGATACTGTGATGGGGGCCAGGTGACAGAGCATCACAGGGGAAGCTGATCAGTTTATAAGGGACACCTGTAGCACCCCCACCCCCTCAAGCCCGGGCCCCATCTTTCTCTGCACACGGAAGTCTCTGCATGTGAGCTCCATGCGGGTGGGAGCCAGGTCTGGCCTGGCGACCACAAGGAGATCCAGAAATCACGAACAAGTGAAAAAAAAGGGAATGGGAGATGAGACAGGTGGGGCCTGACCACGTGCACCAAGCACGTTATGTGGTCACACTGGGACAAAAGAGAAGAGTTTCCTACATTCTACTGCGGCCATTTAATATGACCACGTCACAACTCTCTCCTTCCTGACTCCTCTTCCATGTGGCCTTTCTGGAGATGGAGAGCATACTTATTCATTCCACAAACACTTCCTGAGTGCCTACTATGTGCCAGGGGCTGCTCTAGGTGCCAATGACAGATCGGTGAACAGGATGACTGGAGCCCTGCTCCAGGGCACCACCCTCCAGGAGCTCGTGTGAGGAGGTGGTTGGCACACCATTGGGTGCATCTTCTTAGGCACAAAACGTGGGTACACGTGCTCATATGTGCACACGCACACACGCGCCCACACACACAGAGCTTTTCCCCATCACCTGGGCCCAGCAGCCCCGCCCGCCGTGAGCACTCACCTGGAACACCTGCCCGTCCACCTCCGCGTAGGCCCTCACGGCGTGCTCAGGGAACATGAAGGTGACGAAGGCAAAGCCCTTGGGTTTCTTGGTCAGGCCGTCGATGGGGTAATGGAGCTCAGACAGGGGCCCTGCGGACAGGAGAGGTGTCAGTGTCCTGCGGGCCAGGGCTGGGCCTGCGTGCCGGGCAAGAAACATGCTGGGCACTCGTCAGGCGATGGGTTTTAACTGGTGTGCACATTGCACTGCTGCTCTGGGTCACAGCCGCTCACTCGGTCCCAGGAAGATGTGGCAAGATGGTGCCCTGAGACTGCCTCAGAGGTTAAGGGTGTCCTTTCACAATCCTTCACGCGTCTATCCTAAAAACAGACGCACCCGGGCTGGATCCTCCCTCCCCGACCTAGTACCTCTGTGGCCTCGGGTGAGCACTAGCCCCTACGCGCCTCAGCCTCCTCATCTGTAACACGGCCTAACAGGGCCCCGAGCTCTTGGGGCAGCTGGGAGGGCAGCCACACGGATAGGCGCAGTGTGCTAAGCAGTGCCTTCAACAACGCCAGTGCCAGAGGAGCGTTTGTAATGAGATGATTATCACACTCACACGCACTTTTTCTGAATTGGTTTCCACTCTGCACAGCAGGGTGTGCCCACCTCCACCCCGGTCTTTGTCTTCCCAAACCAACACTTACAGTCTCTTAACAACCCCATCTCCTGTGCAGTCCGGCCCCGCTATATAAACCAGGCACTGACCTGGGCGGAAGGGGCCGGCAAGCAGTGGACACAGGCTGGGAGGCTACCCCATCTGCCTGATGGCAGAGTCCTACTCAAGGCTTCCCTGTCCCCACGACAGGCACTCAACTGAGCTCTGATCCACAACCCAGAGCCGGCCTCCCAACAGAAGTGGGGAGACACTCCAGGGATCTCAACAGCATCAAGATCTCACCCCCATTCTGAACCCCAACTTCCTTTCCTTCAACAACCATGACTTCAAAAACACACACCGCCTGTGTGACAAACTGAACTATGGGCCCCCAGTTCACGTCCTGCGAAATAAGAATGCAACGATGACAACAATGAAAATAACCCTCACGCTCATCTGTCTGGATGCTCTGCTCTGACGGCAAGGCTATTTACCCGGCAGAGAGCTCAGACGGAGGGGCACTCGCACGTTCACACCTACATAGTTGTTGGATTTCCAACACTGAGTGGCGAGAGTTTGAACAGCAAGGGATATCTCAGAAAAGTGGATCCACATCTTGTTAGTTCTGAGCTCAGAGAGTGAAAGCTAAGAGGCTGGGTTCAGATGGCAGAGGTGCCGGTAATGCGGCCGATTACAACAAGCTCTGCTGTCGCATCCTCAAGCAGCTCAGGGATTGCTGGCCCCATTTTATGGATGAGAAAACTGAGGCAAGGGGTGAAGTCCTTAGCCCAGGGTCAACAGCTGACGGGAGGCAGACGGGACTCGAGCCCAGGTTGCCTGCTCTAAGCCAGTGCGCTGCGGCGTGTGCAGAGAGTGGGGCTACACCCTCACCGTATCTGGAGAAGAGCTGCTCCAGCTCCTCCTCGGTGCTGGTGTAGGGCAGGTTTCGCACAAAGAGCCTCCCCGAGTCGGCCAGGTCCTCTTCCTCCTCGTTCTCCCCGAGTGTCCGGCCCTGCCAGGGTTTGGCACTGTTCTTCGGGGGCCCCTCGGCCGTGGGGATGTTCTTTTCCCTGAACACCTCGATGTAGCGCCCACCTGTAGGAGGAGAGGAGTCAGGGCTCCTGGGCGAGGCCCGGAACCTGCCAGGGACTCCAGCCTGGCAATTCCAAACTCTTCTTTGCTGCCTGCCAGATGCCGTGGCAACGGCGGCTGATTACAGCCGACACGAGGCCCTGTTAACCAGGGTGGCGGCCTGAGCCGATGCCGGAACCAAAGGCCCTTTCTCAGACTCTCACTCTCCCACAAGTTCAGTTTCAACCCTGGGGGCAGCCTGCCTGGGCCATCCGAATCCACAGTGCCACATCCTCTAAATGGCACGGCACATTCCCTGGCAGTGCTCGCTGCTGTGCCCTAGGAAGGGTGTCATGTGACGACCCAACACTGCAGAGTCACCTTGTACTGCTGATGACTGTTTACATGCACTGCCAGGGGTGCCTGATTAGACCGTGACCACCACCGTCGCCACATGCACACAGTAGGTGCTCAATAAATATCTACCTCCTGACTTGGTAACAAGACTCCTTAGGTGTCCCACCTTCCCTAACGGAATTCATGCCTTCACTAGTGATCAATGGCTCGATCTGAATCACTTGTCCATGCCAGCGATGGACCAAAGATCACTTCTTTGGATGTCATTCAGGTAGCCTCCCGACTCCAGGAACTTGCACTTGCTGTTCCTGGACTGGAACAGCCTGCCCCACAAGGCCAGAGTTTGCACCCTCTGTTCCTTTGGGTTTTGCTCCAACGTCAGCTTCTCCATGAGGCCCAAGCGGACACAGTCCTGTTCAAAAACACGCCCCCTCCAGCCCGGCCCTCTCTGCTCTGTCTTCCCACAGTCTGGCCCACTCGATTACTGCCCATTTCTCCCCGCTCCACGGAAGTTTCCTCCGTGCTGGCTCTTGGGCAGCCAGGATCTCGGCTGTTCCACTCACTGCGGTATCCCCAGTGCCCAGAACAGTGCCTGGCACACAGCAGACCCTCAGGAACACCCTGCGGGGTCGACAACCGACTGAACGGAGCCCTCCACCGCGCAGACGGCGCCGCCCCGGTTCTCACCCATGTATTCTCTGTTGCATTTCAGAGCTTTCTTCACCTCCTCTTCACTGCTGAAATCCACAAAGACGTACCCTGAGAAAAGACAATGACAAAGGTGAAATCTGCAGGCCCCGCAGACACTCGTGGAAGCCCCCGAGGAACACCCACACTGTGCGAGCCGTTTGCGGGAATCTGAGCGAAAGTGGGGGAAAACCTCTATTTTTGCCACATCTCTAAAATACAGACTCCCTCCCACCCGCCTGGCCAAAGTTCCCCTTGCATGGAGCCTTTAGACCCCGTGGGCTGGTTTTATGGATGAAGATGCTGGACGACAGGAGTCACAAACACAGGAGGTCTACCTCCCAGCCCCACCCCACCATGACCAGGGCCTGCTCCACGGCCTTCCCCGGAGGAGATGTGCCCGTGGTGGCCGTACTGTGACCCAGATCAGCACCAGAGGGGCCATCTCCACAGGGACTCCGCCACGGACTGCCTGAGGGCCTGACTGACACAGGAACAACATGGAGAGTCTCTCCCAGAGCACAGGAGGCCTCACATCCCCAGCCTCACCGGGCCCCCACCCCGTGAGGCAGCAGGGCAGGCGTTATGGCTGTAACATGGCTCTTGGGGTTTTGGCCTCCATCAGAAGGCTATTTAGGTTCTGTCCCAGGACCCGTGCCTCACCAGCCAGGGGACCGTTCTGAATCCCATCACGCCTCCCCTTGCTTTAAGCCCCCAGTGGGCCCCTGCCCCGGGCTGCAGTCATTAATGAGCACCCAGGCCAGAGGGCAGGCCCTGCCTCCTCTCCAGCTCTTCTGTGGGCACATTCTGCGGCTCCTCAAAAGTGTCCCGCTCAGATGTCAGCTCTCCCAACTCCGGGGCCTCCAAGATGGTTTTCTCTCAGCCCTGACAGCTCCAACATGCTCCTTTCCGGCCCCGCTCGCCAACCCCTGCTCACCCTTCTGGTCTCTGAAGTGCCATGAAGGCAGGGGTGCCACCACGGCCACCACCGAAGTTAACGACGGCTCTCACAGAGTGTGCAACAGGCGTTCAGCACTGTTCTAATGCTGCACACGTATTAACTCATGAATCCTCACAACTTAAGGAGACAGGACTGCCCATTGCACAGATGAAGAAACTGAGGCTAAACTGCCAGTCCAAGGTCACAGGAAGTGATGGTAAGGGGCCGGGCTGGGATGTGAGCCCAAGCAGGGGCTCTTCACTCCTCCCCGTACGGCCCTCGGGGAGGTTTGCAAGGAGAAAGGGATGACCCACTGAGCGGATGTGCCTGGTTGGCAGGGCTTTGGTGCTGAGAGGAGAGCTGGGCAGGCAGTGTAGACCCTCAAAGGTGACGAGACCACCCCTAACACAGACCCCAAACCCAGCAGATCCCAAGCGCTCTGCCCATGCCAGTGTCTTCCTGCCAAGGAAGCCTGCATGCCCAGCGCAGCCCAGCCTCCCTGTGGCCAGGGGGCCTCAGTGTGGTTCTCTGAGGAGCAAGAACTCTGCTGCTGCGTGTGCTGCAGCCTCCCGGCCTGGCCAACAAGTAGGCACAGGCAGCCTCCCACCCGTCCAGGCTCAGACCCTTCCTTCCAGCATGTTCCCGGCCCCAGCGTAGCCAGAACCCAGGGCTCGGAAGCCCAGGGAGTGGGCTGGCTGCCCAGAGGGCAACCTGAGGAAAGGGTGGCATGGGGACGAAACCACACACTCTCAGAGCACTGTGCGTCAGCAGAGCTGTGCACGGCCTTCGCCCTGAAAACCCAGCACTGGGGACATCGGCTTAAACAGGACAGGTGAGCCCACTGGTGTAAATGTAGGCTGAGGGGGAGGAGGGGAGAGAAGAAAGAAGTGAAAACTGCACACCAGGCTGCCAGAGGCAGGCGACAAGAGGCAGCCCCGTCCTGAGCAGTTTAACCACATCCACAGAACTGGGGACCACAAACAGGAAAAACAAAAGCCACCCTTAACACCTCTCCCCGGTCCAGCCGCCCAGACCTTCCACCTTCACCACCTGCCACTCCAGCGCACACAGAACACCCCAGCCCTCACCTGTCTTGTTCCCGTGAGCATTTCTCACTATTCGAATGGCCACCGGCTTCAGGGGTGCCAGGAATTCCACAACGTTTTTCTGTAAGGAGCAGGAAAGTTTTCTCCTCCGTTATCAGTCCAATAACAAAAGCGCAACCCAATAAAGAAACGTGGGCTGAATTTCTGAATTCACAAAGGCTACCAAAGTGTTTCCTCCTTTATGGTTTCTCTCCTTTAAATTATACACCTTTCCTCCATCCTAAAATGAAACTACCCTGGAAAAAAATTTTTTTAAATAAAAGAACTGAAGAATATAAATACAAAATCAGCAGCAGCAGCATTTTGAGGCATTGTTTCTGATCTTTTTTCCTAACTACCTTTTTATACATAACTGGGGTTAAGTCTGGCTTTTTCCCTTCTCATTAAAGCCTGAATATGTGTTACTTCCCGGTGACAGTGCACATCAACTTAAGGAGCTGCTGAAGATGGTCCCCCATTTTCTTAATTATTTCTCTAGTTTGGACAAGAGAGCGATTTAAACACATTTTTAAAAATGCACGAACACACAGAGTATGAAATTTTAGCAAATAACGAAGAGTACAAACAAGAAAACAAAAATGGCCTACAACGCCAAGGCAGACCACTCTCGTGGGCTTCTTACTAAAAAGTGAAAGCAGTGAAACCATCTTCATTTATGTCCTGGGGCAAACCCTTTAGAGAACGAGCAGGGAGAAGCTCATAACGCCCAGGCAACCGTACAAATCAAAGCACTACAAAATAAAGGAAGAAACACCGAAGTTCTGAGTTTTTCCCACTAGTACCTCAATTTTCTTAAAAAAGCCAATTTATCAAATTCTTCCAGAAAAACTTTTTTCCCTCATTTTTAGGTGGTTATTGGGAAATCCAGCATACTGTAGAACATGTGTGGGTGTCTGTGTCTCCTTCTGGAAAAAAAGTAAAATCCACCTGTCCACCCGGTCCCATGCCTGGCACTTTCCCTGGATAATACAGCCTGGGGACCTTCCACACCAGCACAGCCTTTTCAGTGACACATCACTGTCTACTGTTTCAGTGTATCACACTTTAGTGAACCTCAAGTTAACGAGACCTGGAGTTTTTCAACCTTGGTACTACTGAAATTGCAGGACTGATAATTCTCTCAGGGGTCTGTCCCATGCACTATGGGATGTTTGGCAGCATCTCTGCCCTCTACCCGCTAAAGTAACACCCGCTCTCTCTCCAGTGGCAAAAATCAAAAGCATCTCCAGGTATTGCCAAGAGCAGGGGGCCAAGGGCAGACGTGGAATGGTCCCCAGTTGAGACTCACTAAATTAGCCACTTCCCTAGTGACAGAGCTCAAAAGCTGTTTCCAGTTCTTTGTTTTTATAAATAAAATGACACAAATCAACACATCAAGCTATAAATAGTACACAGTTAAAAGCAGTAATAGAAGAATGCTTCAATGAACATTCTTGCATTGAAATCTGCGTGTACTTGGGCCATCCGCCTGTGGTTCAAATTCCTAGCAAGGTAACTGCTCCGTCAAAGGCATGCAGGCTCTTAATTTTGACTGACACTTCCAAGCTGCCTCCAAAAGGCTGCTCTGCACACGTCTACCAACGGTGCATGGCAGTGACTTACGACCGAACTTTGAAAGTTTTTCCAGAATGTAACCTTCCAGGTTTGACTTGTATTTCTTTAATTATGAGTGGACTCAAGTGTCTTCACTGGTCATTTGGATTTTTTTTCTTAGAAGACCTCCTATCCTTTGTCCCTTTTTTTATTCGGTCATAGGTCCCAATACCTATTTACCTATTTGTTAATTAAAGAAACTAGATTTTGCCTGTTGTTTGTGTTACACGTCTGTAGCTTTCTGACTTTATGACAGCTCTTGCCTTATAGAAGTTTTAATTGTTATGCAGCCACTTAATCCACCTTTTTCTTATGGCTACAAAGCTTTGCAAATTGCTTACAAAGACATTCTTCATTCCAAGATTACAAGTAACTTCATCAATGCTTTCTCCTAATAATTTTGTCTCATTTTTTAAGCTTAAATCCTTGATGCATCTGAAATTTATCTTGATACAGAGTAAGACAGGGTCTATCTTTATTTTTTCCTCAAAAACGTTAACTGGTTGTCCAATTACTATTTAAAGAAAAACCTCTCTTCTCTTCATTCATATCAAACACTCTAAACTAAATGCTTATATATATACATATATGAGTCTATTTCTGAATTCTATTCTAGTCCATTAACCTGTCAACAACTTTACCTGAACCAAACTGTTTTAATCACTGTAGCTTCAAAACATGCTTCAACATCTTATAGCGGGTCTATTTCCACAGGCTCTTCCTAGCTGTTTTTCACATTTCACCCCCTCCCCAATCATACGAAACTAAAACTGTGATCTCACTGAATCTATTCATTTATTCACTAATCAGGAAAAACCAGCATTTTCACATTCTAAGACTCTATGTATGGTTTTCTGTTTAAGTAAGTGTTCTTTTAAATCTCTCAGTAGAATTTAACAGTTTCTTTATATAGAACCTATAAAACTTTCATTAGAACATCTATAGTCTCCCTCCACACACACACATAACATAACATTCATTAGACTAGAGATTTCTTTTTCATTGATATATAAAAAGAGGCTTTTCTTCTATTATAGTTTCTGTTATTGTTTGTGGAAAGGAAAAGAAGTGACTATCTTCTGTGTATTAATTTTGCAAAAAGCCGTGTAGCGGTTACTTACTTTTTTGATTAAAGCATGTGATTTTCTGCATGGTTGGTATTGAAAAAATTGTAACTCTAAATTATCAGACAACTCAGATAATCTTGTATAACCCAAGTGCTTGTTACTCAGAAGTTTCATAAATTTTTTAAACATTAGTAAAGATACAGACTATCAAAAGAGATGAACACTTAGGAGTCGGCCCTGTGGCCTAGTGGTCAAGTTCAGCATGCTCTGCTTCAGTGGCCCGGGTGTGGTTCCTGGGCATGGACTTACACCACCCATCAGTGGCCATGCTGTGGTGGCGACCCTTATACAAAGTAGAGGAAGACTGGCATGGATGTTAGCTCAGGTCCCATCTTCCTCAGCAAAAAATAAATAAAAATTAAAAAGAGATGAACACTTCAAGAGAAAAAAGGGTAAAAGACATGATAAGGCATTTTGCTAAAGAGGTTATACATGTGATTCACAAATGTCAAGGAATTAGTGATCTCACTAATAATTTAAAATATAAATTAAGATGAGATGCCATTATCACCTGTCATATTGATAAAGATTGCTATCCGGGGTGCACAGAAACGGGCACACACACACTCTGCCAAAGGGAGCATAAATGAGCAACGCTTTCAGCGGGCAACTGACATTCCACGTCAAAGCCTGAAAAATGTACACGCTTGTCTGTGTTAGATATTTATCTGGAGCAAGAGTTGGCAAATTATGGCCCACAGACCAAATATCACCCACAGCCTACTTTTGTATGCCCTGCAAGCTGAGAATGGTTTTTACATTTTTGAAGGGTTACTAAAAAAAATAGATACATAAAAGAAAAAAAAGAAGGAATGACGTTAGCATCAGGCAGAGTCAGCTCTTCCCTTAGACTCTCCCCACTAAGATACAATGAAAAGGACACTCATAAACTAACAGAGAACATTCACATAACACAGATGACGTCTGAAAGACCCAGGCAGCCAGACACTGAAGGTGCGTGTACTGGACCCCCTGGAGGAAGTGGAAGGAGGTAAGGAGATCTCCTCTCCCTCCCCCAGCGGCAGCGACCCAGGACGCGTAGCTCTGAGAGGAGAAGGGGGCGAGGCGGTGATCTGCAGGAACACCTTCTTTCTCCAAGTCCCCTACACCCCATGGGAAAGCCCCACACAGAGGTAGCTAAGCTATTGCGGGGGTGTCTTCATTGAGCCAACACCCCAGGAGGGCAGATAGTGAGGGCAGAGCAAGAACGCCTCCAGGATCATGCAGGGGAAAGATGGCCCCCCTCCCGCTGCCTGGTGCTCCAGCTCAGTCAGTTGGCCAGAGCGCCCAGAGCACTCACACACATGACAGAAAAGCAGCAGCTTTGTGCAAGCGAGCCAGGGTTGCGGCGGGCTCAGAATACACAGCTCTTGGCACCCATACAGTGGTGGGAGGTAGAAGCTGCAACCAGATACTATCACTACACAGAGGCATAAATCCAAGCCGTCACATGGTATGAAAAAATATATTAATATTCCAGACCAAAATGAAAATGACAAGCAACCAGAAATCACTCCTGAAGGCACAGAAATTTATAATCTAAATGACAGAGAATTCAATATAGCTATCATAAAACAGCTCAACGAGTTACAAGAAAATAAGATAGTTCAATGAAATCAGGAACAAAATTAATGAACAGAGGGAATTCTTTACAAAAGAGATTGAACCTATAAAGAAAAACCAATCAGAAAGGTTGGAGATGAAACTCACAATGGATGAGATAAAGAAAAATCTGGACTCCCTGAATAACAGAGCTGATATTATGGAGGAGAGAATTAGCAGTCAGGAACACAAAAATATAGAAATGCTTCAGACGGAAGAGGAGAGAGAACTAAGACCAAAAAGAAATGAAGTATTTCTCTGAGAAAGGTCTGACTCATTGAGGAAATGCAACATATGGAATACAGGTATTCCAGGGGGAGAAGAGAAAGAGAATGAAGTAGAAAGCTAGTTCAAAGAAATAATAGCAGAGAACTTCCCAAACCTGGGGAAGGAGCTGGAAATACAAGTGAAAGAAGCTAATATGTCTCCTAATTACGTCAACATGAAAAGACCTTCTCCAAGGCACTTAGTAGTAAAACTGGCAAAGTCAACAACAAAGAAAAAATATTAAGGGCAGCAAGGCAGAAGAAAATAACTTACAAAGGAACCCCTGTCAGACTTCCAGCGGACTTCCCAGAAGAAACCTCACAGGCTAGGAGAGAGTGGAATCATATATTCAGAATTCTGATAGACAAAAATTTTCAGTCAAGAATATTCTATCCAGCAAAAATATCCTTCAGATATGGTGGAGAAATAAAAACTTTCCCAGATAGACAAAAGCTAAGGGAGTTCATTGCCA